CTGGATGTGACCTTGACCTTGGGGTTCTCAAGTTGCTCTGGAGGGGCCGCTGGGGGCCGGGCAGCGTCCACGGCAGCTGCTGTGGGCTCCGTGGGGCCCTGGATGGCAAGGTCAGTGGTCTCACGATGTGGACAGGGTGCCTGGGGCAGGGGCCCGAGAAGAGGGCTGGCCGTCCCCGTGAGACCCTGCGGACACAGGGCTGAGACCCAGTCCACAGGGGCACGGGGGGCCCGATGGGTGGAGGGAACGTGGGGCCAGGCAGGTGAAGCACAGGCTGCGGGGATCCTGGCACGGCCACTGCGGGCCTGCCCCCAGGTGGCAGGGTCTGTGCTGAGCCCTGGGACGTGGCGGAGGCTGGGCTCGGCCAGTGGCTGAGGGCTCTGGCATGCCCCGGCAGGCGCCCGCCAAGCGCCCAGAGTTGGGAGGACCGGGCAGGTGGCGTCGGAGCTGTGCTTGTCCACAGGGAAACGGGGTCTCCCACAGTCTGGGGCCTGCGGCTGAAATCCAGGGCTCAGCAGACTCTGCGACTCTGGGTGGAACCCCTGCCGGTCTCTGGGCCTCGGGCCGGCCACCGGGGCGCTTCTGGCCTGGCAGCTGCATCGCTCCGGACTCTGCCCGTCGGCACAGGGCCTCCTCCTTCCTGGGTCTCTGCTTCCTCTTCCTACGAGAACACAGTCATACTACAGTAGGGCTGCACCTGCTGTGCTCACCTTAGTTACACCTGCAAAGACCCTACTTCCCAATCAGGGCACACTTGCAGGTCCTGGGGCTGGGACCTGACACGCCTTCTGGGGGACACAGCACAGCCCGTAGCCGGCCCCTGAGAACCTTGACCACAGCTAAATATGGGCCCCACCCAGGCAGGTGGGTGGACAGAGAAGGTCCGAGGGGATGGGGCCACGTCCTAGGAGGACCCATACGCAGCAGCACTTCGTATCCTGAGGCAGCCGCCCAGGCCCATCCAGAGGACACGGGGCTGGCTGAGCCTGAGCCATGGCTTCCGGGCACCCAGCAGCGCCAGCTCTGCCTCCCGGGAGGCATCTTCCGAGCAGTTGGGCCCAGCAGGTGGCAGGCAAGGGGCTCCTGTTTCCCGGGTCGGTCTCACTCCTGGGGCAGCACAGACCCCGGGACAGCCAGGTACACAGGTGAAGGCCGGGGGAAGCGTGAGGCCAGGGGGAGTTGTCGGTGGGTGATCTGGACGGGCCTCCCAGAGGACAAGGAAGGGATGTTGCCGTGAGCAAGGGCTGGTGGAAGCTCAGGGAAGGAGTGAGCCTGGCGTGGAGGGCAGAGGACACTGCAGCCAGGGGCCCCGGAGAGCAGCCTGAGTGAGGGGAGGTGACGGGGGCAGCGGCTGCAGGGCCACGCACAGCCCACGACGCGACGCTCTGGCTGCGGGGCAGCGGCTGCAGGTCCCCCGGTGCCCTGCTGGCTTCTCTCTCCCTCTCTCATCTATTTAGTTTACTTTTTGGCTGTGCCGCACGTTTTGTGGGGTCTTACTTCCCTGACCGGGGGTGGAACCCGTGCCCCTGCAGTGGCAGCACGGAGTCCTAAACGCTGGGCTGCCCGGGAAGCCCTGTTGCTGGCTCCTCCTGCCCCAACTGCCAGGCTGGGCGTCTCTGGGCTTCCCTGCGGGCCCCCAGCAGCCCCACTGCTCAGTGGCTGGTTTGCAGGTGGTGAAGTGGGGCCAGCATCTTGGGGGCTCCTGCATTGCCCCCTCCCCATGTCTCCCTCCCAGACCCAGCAAGGGGCTTTCGGCATAGACCCCCCGGGGTTACGGCACTTCAAACACCAGGAGTCTTTGAATCTGAATGTTTCTATTCTTTTTTTTTTTTGGTACGCGGGCCATGTGGGATCCTCCCGGACCAGGGCACGAACCCATGTCTCCTGCATCGGCAGGCGGACCCTCAACCACTGCGCCACTAGGGAAGCCCTGAATGTTTCTATTTTTATCATGTGCACATGAGGCTGGGGGACATTCCCAAGGCCAGAACTTACTGGCTAAACCTGGTATATACAGCAACACTGGGGGGTGGGCAGGGAAGGGAGGACGCCACCACCCCCTGGCATGAGTCAGGGGCTGGCTGAGCACATAGGGACAAGGGGACAGCTGGGCCACTATCTCTTCCCAGCTCCAAATTGCACACCAGCCTGCACTGTAGGGTCTGGAGGCCGGGAAGCCCCAGCACCAAGGGCAGGTGCACCTCTGGGCTCACTTGAGGGGAGCCTCAGCCCCTTTCTGTCCTAGGGTCTCTTCTGGTAGCCATGTGTCCTGGGTGAACCCCTGGCCTGCACTGCGTCACTGATCCTGCTAACTCAGCCACACCAGGTGGACCCAGGATTTGGAGGTCTGGAGAGGGCCCACCTGTGGCCGTGTGGCGACCCCAGCAGTGCGGTGCCACAGACCACCCCCCCATGCCTGGGCCTTCCTGGCAGGCACCGTGTCCCCTAGGTTCTTGGGTCCCGCGTTTCTCTATTTTATTAATTAGTGATATCGTATCGTATTTTTAAATTAAACTTTGAGTTTTGGGTCCTCATGGCCTGTTCACCACTTGAGGTATCCTGTACCCTAAATTCCCCCAGAAAAGCCAGTTTGGTGGTCTGACTTCCCATCTCCTAAGGACCTGTTGCCTCCTGAACCCGGGACAGCCTGGGCTCGGCCCCTGGTCCACAGGGCATCCATGCCCAGATGGCGTGGACTTCATGGCAAGTGCCTCGGCGGGTGGGAGGTGCAGACCAGGAGGGCTGCCTGGGAGGGGGTGCCGTGGCCGGTCCACATGCAGGGGATGGTGCCAGCAGGCAGGGAGGGTGAAGGCTTGGCCCCCGCCTGGCCAGGAGAACCTGCCGAAGCGGACAGGGCAGGAGCAGAGAGGCAGAGGCTGGAGGAGGGCAGACTCCTCCAGGCCGGTGGCAGGCTGGGCTCCGTGATGCCCACGTGTGGCCCGTGCACGGGCTCCAGGACCACAGATGGGGTGGCTGTGGGTCCCTCTAGGAAGGGATCCTGGCCTTCAGCTCCAACATGCTGTCTGACATCTCCTCAACCACAGTGTGGACAGGCACTGTCAGCCCAGGGTGTGTGTGATGTTTTGAAATTTAATGTTTTAGGTTGAACAGCATGAAATTTCCACTTTTGTAGGTCAAAACTGGTTGCATATTGGCACTTTCACATGGTTCAACTAAACGCTAAAGCTCACAAGTGCCCCACCCCCAAGACAGGTGCCTGGAATTTTTAAGATTTTTTACCAGGGGGTCTTGGACGTCAGTGCCCGGGGGGGATCTGAGGGTCCAGCAGCTCTGCCCTGGCCATGTGAGCCTCCGCAGGTCTTCCCATCACTCTAGGCACCTTATCCTGTTCTGAGAAATGGACATGTGTGCCCACCAATTCCTCCGATAATCCCGGGGTTCAGACGAGACATCCCAGGACCATCATCCCAGACAGTCAGCAGGAACTGGGTCCTGCCGTGGTCAGCATCCCTCAGCACTCACCCAGTGGAGGGCAGGGCCCCATCCAGCTCACCCTGGTGTCCCCAAACCTTCAGCCACGCAGTCAGTCCTGGCGCAAGGCTCACCACACCTCATAATCAGAGCCAGGTCAGAGGTTGGGGCCTCTGCTGTCCAGCCTCTGCCTTCTCAAGGCAGGAGAATTGTGGTCAGGTCACCAACCATAAGACTGCCCCCTTCTTTCTGGACTGAGACCCAGACTTTTTATTTATTTACTTATGGCCGCCTTGGGTCTTCGTTGCTGCGCACGGGCTTTTTCCTAGTTGCAGCGAGTGGGGGCTACTCTTCGTTGTGGTGCGCGTGCTTCTCATTGCGGTGGCTTCTCTTGCTGCACAGCACGGGCTCTAGGTACGCGGGCTTCAGTAGCTGTGGCACATCGTCTCAGTAGCTATGGCTCGCAGGCCCTAGAGCGCAGGCTCAGTAGTTGTGGCGCACGGGCTTAGCTGCTCCGCGGCATGTGAGATCTTCCCGGACCAGGGCTCGAACCCATGTCCTCTGCATTGGCAGGCGGATTCTAAACCACTGCGCCACCAGGGAAGCCTTTGAAAGTTCTTGATATTCTTCTACCTTTAGACAAAAATAACCAAACCTGTCACTATGGACTGACTGTGCCCCCCAAATCAGACGGAGGCCCCAATGCCCTGGTGCAGTGGCGTCTGGATCAGGGTCAGGGGGCCCATGAGGGGATTAATGCCCTGCTAAGAAGGGACAGCAGAGAGCTCGCCCTGGCTCCCCCACCACAGCACGGCAGGAAGGTGGCCCTCTGCACACCAGACGAGGGCCTTGACAGAACCCGACCACGCCGGCACCCCGATCACAGGCCCCCAGCCTCCAGAAGCCACAAGAGAGAGCCGTCTGATGTGTAAGCCACCTGGGCCAAGATACCGCTCCTAAAATGCACAGCCCGAGAGGGCTCGGGAATGGCAGTAAACAGGTGAGTCAGAGACTTGTGCCCTCCTGTTCCTAGTGCCCCAGAGCCTGGGCTGCAGGCAGGTGGCAGCACAGCCCGGACCCAGACAGAAAATGCGAGTTCTCACACCCCAGCCTGAGGAGGGCTCCCCGTTTCCCGGGAGCCACTTTATTTGACTTTGCAAGGACCACAGTGCTCACTTTTCACATTTAACGGGGAAAAGAGGAAGCCCCAACCTTCTGGGGACGTGCAAGGGTGCCACGAACTCCTGCTGTCCCCAAGGGGACATGCCACAGCAAGGCTGTCTCAAGACAGATTTTGGGAAACCTCGTCAATGCTTCCAGAAACACTTGCCCTGGGCGACCGAGAGGAAGCCTTAAAGAAAAGTGTTTTTAGAGAGAGACAGTGGGGTCGCCTTCCGTGTAAACAGAGGAGAGGCGGATGAGCTCTTCCATGTCTCAACTCTTACGCAGCAAAGCGTCTACAACTCAAGTTGGAAAAGCTGATTAACCACGAATTCCAAGTTCTCGTGGAAAAATCCTCTCTTAAATACCAAAATACATGAGACCCCCCCAACTCTCAACTCAAACGCTTATCTTCGCAAATTCACAACATTTATAAATAAATAGCAGGCAAGCTCTGAATTACACGTACGAGTTCACTCCAGACAAACACACAGACCAAAATACCACAAAAGCTGACTCACATAAAACGAAGTTAAACCCTAGACGTACATGTGACAAGGGTTACCAGCAGGAAACGCAAGAGGTGACCTAACGGCATAAAGCAACAGTAACTTCTATAAAAGCTGTTGGGTTGCATCACATGGCGAGTCTCCAAGTGCCAGGGCCCAGTTAACAGCGGTCACAGCCCTCAGCAGGTGCAGGTGGATGGTCAGTACAGTGGAGGCAGGACACGACATTGTCCCCAGCCCTGAGGGGTGGGGAATTTTTCTTTGGGGTCATGTCCTGAAAGGCCTGTCAGCTCCATCCTCTGGCTGCTTGGTGCCGGCCTGGGAGAGGACAGTGTGTGCTCAGGCCCCGCGGGGCTGCCTGCGGACTCGCCCACGTCCAGGCAAAACGCTGAAATCCAGGGACAGGACATTTCTGTCTGACAGGATGCTGGCCGCAGACGCAGAACAAGATGCCCTCGGGTAGGCTGTATGGGCGCTTAGCGGAGCCGGGGCTTAGGAGGTGTCCACTGCTGCCTGGCATCTGGCCCATGGTCACCAGGTAAACTGGGTCCTCTTGAGGGCCGGCCTCATGCTAACGACCAGCCAGAAGCTGTCAGCTTCACCAGTGGAAGGCCGGCGGGCGGCCGCCAGTGACTCGGTCCAGCCTCCACACACCACCACGAGCGGCAGAATGGCTGCGCAGGGTCGGGAGCCGGGCGTCCCAGCCCTGCTCAGGGCGGTCAGGGGATGCCCTCCTTCCGCTGGCAGCACTGCGAGGGTGGCGCCGACCAGTCGTAGACGTAGGACAGGCGCAGCTGCACCTCCCGCTTGCACAGGCGGCCCTCGCGTGCCAGCGTCCGGTGCTTCTCTAGCATGTCCTCCAGGCTCTGCTTGTGCGTCACCAGGTACTGGTTGTTGCAGCCGCGGGACTTGTACTCGGTGTCGAAGCGCGGGTCGTGCTCGCGCTGCACGTCCACCGGCGCCAGCCAAGCGCCCAACGACACGTCCTCGCTGTGCCAGGCGCGCAGGTACTCGCGGCTGAGGCGCAGGTAGTGCACGAGGTCGGCCGAGAGCACGTACCCGCCGCCCAGCGCGTAGGGCAGGTAGTAGTCGCAGAGCTGCCAGGCGGCCTCGCGCCAGCGGCCCCCGGGCCGGACGCGGCCGCGGCCCGAGAAGAAGCCCCAGTAGAGGCGGCGGCGGCGCGCGGGGTCGCGGGCGCGCAGCTCGGCCAGCAGCGCGTCCAGACGCGCGAACGAGTCGTCGTCTGCCTTGAGCACGAACTCGAAGGCCACGTGCTCGTCCAGCCAGGCCAGCATGGCCAACACCTTGGCCGTGAGGTTCTCGTACGCGTCACGCAGCGCGGGCAGCAGCAGCAGGTCTCCGTGCCGTGCCTGTTCGCGTTCCAAGGCGCGCCGCTCGTCGGCGCCCAACCCGCCGGTGCCCACGGCGAAGCGCGCCCACACGTCCCCGGGGCCGCCGCGCCGCGCCGCCAGCCATGTGCTGCGGACCACGCTGCGCCGCTCGGCCGCCCGCGGCGCGCTAGCCACCAGTACGGCCAGAAAAGCGGCGGCGCGCGCGGGGCCGAAGGGCGCGGGCGCGGCGGGGTCGACGGGCGCCCTACAGCGCGCCAGGTAGAGCAGCGCAGCGCCGCCCAGCGCCAGGGCGCTCAGGCCCAGCGCCGTTCGGTGCCGCCACGCGCGCCGCAGCAGCTTCATGGCGCGGGGAGCGCCGCGGACCGCGCCGTCGGGCTACGTGAACCCGCGTACGCTCCTCATTGGCCGCCCGGGAGGGCGGAGAGGCCGATTCCGCCCGGGGGAAAGATGGCGGCGCCGGCATCAGCGCGGGGAGGTCGCACCGCCCTGCGACCCGCCTCTTCCCGGAAGAGTGATGGCCGCGGCCTAAGAGGTGGCCCGTTGGAGGCGTCGCAGGCGCTCGGGTCGCGCTCGGTGGATCCTGGGTGCGGCGAGGGAGGCCGGTGAGTGAGGGTCCCAGGACGTGACAGCCCCTTCCCGGCCCCGGGGCGGCGGGAAGGCGGCGCGCTGCAGGCCGACGGGGCCTCGGGCGGCCGGCATCTGCTGCCGACCGGGCCCCTCGGATACCGGAGTCGGGGGTCGGTGGAGCCGGGTCGGCGGCCGCGGCCCCGCCGTTCGGGGGGTGGGGAGGGTCCGAAGTCCGGGTGAGGCCCGGGACACCCGGCTCGGCCCGGGGCACCCGGCTTGGCCCTAGGCAGTCGTTGCCAACGCCGTGTGCGACTCCTGAAACCGAGGACGGAGCGTTTAGAAAAAGTGTTTGCGTTTTAACGACGATGTTCTTACTAGTTTCACTAGAGCGGGCACCAGGGCTGTCCAGGAGTCCGGGATGGGTCCCCCAGTCAGCGGGGCAGACCCTGCTCTGAAATCTCTTCCCCTGGGGCGGGAAGTGAGCGGCTGACTCCTGTGCTCACCACGGTACAGAAACGTTGTGAATGGAGGGGAGGAAGTGCCCGATCTTCTGATGCCTACACGGTTATTTTGGGGTTACTCTTTGTGCAAAATATCATGTAAATAACATTCCCTGTACTGTCTATCAAGATAAGCAGAATGTGGGATTGACTGTTCTTCCCAGAAAAGTCCAGTCTGTTCGGTGTTTATGGCCACCAGTCAGCAGAGTGGCGTGAAGGCCAGGAGGAAGTTGTCTTGGTTTGCTCGGGAGCTTGGGGAATATACGCATCGTGGCAGAGCAGAAAGGCCTGCTGTGTGGACAGTGTGATGGGTGCTGGGGCGGTGCCCTCAGAGAGGGACAAGTGGAAGTTCCAGTAAATGTGGTTCAGGGGACGGTGACCACGCAGAGAGCACAGCTGGTGGGTTCTCGTGGGTGTGGGGAGGGTGCAGGCCCTCACAGACACGGAAAGAGGGACGTAAGGCGGCCCTTCCGTGAGAGTTGCTCCTCCAAGGAATGAGCCAGCTGAGCTGGGAGAGCAGGATCTTGTCCAGGGGTCCAGATAGCACCTGGGCCCAGAAGACCTGAAACCGACGGAACGCGTCTCGGGTGATAGTAGAGCGAAGGGTCTTCTGTCTCGGCGCAGAAAAAATTCACTGAGCAGCAGAGTGACAGATAAGGAAAGAGTTTATTACTGTAGGACGCCTGTGAGAGATACAAGCGGGCAGGCGGGGAGCTCTGCCCTGAGAACTAAGCTACATTTTTATAGCGGAAGGAAAGTGGGCAGGGGACAAGACCACCTTCTTCCTCATTCTTGAGTAGACGTCACCCTTCCATCACCAGTTCCTCCTCCTTGTCGGGCTGGGGAGTTTTCTTGTCCCTACACGGTCAAACTGGGACTGCCATGGCGCAGTGGAAGTGAGCAGAAAAGCGGTAACACATACTAAAATCTGGGAAATCATTTCAGGCTTTGGTATAGCGCCACCTTGTCCTTATATTTTTGTTTTTAGCTTGCGCAGAGGGGCGTGTCTTAGGAACCATTAACTTACTGACCTTACTGGGCAGGATGTGGGTCTCATTCCCCCATTTTATCGTCTGGGGCATGTCTTGTGCTTATGTTGCATGGTTTGTTGCTAAGCAAGCCTGCTTTCTAGAGCGATCATTGACTTACGGGGTCTCCCATGCGTCTCCTTCATGGCTGATCCCTTAGTGGGATTAACTGTTTAGGCACCTGCTTTGTCCCTTTACCCTGTCCTTGTCAGACCGACTGAGGTGTCCCCGTGCCAGGGGAGGCGTTGGTCAGGAACGCGCAGGGTAGAGAAGAGGCATCAGAGAAGCAAGTGGTGGCGTCTGCCAGCCGGGGAGGGCCTGTGGCCCTGTCCTTGGGCTGCACTGCCAGCCAGCACGGGTGCCTGCTTGGCCTGATGGAGGGCACCGTGGTTCGAACCCCTTGTGCCTCACCTTGGACACCACCCTGGCCTGGGTGCTCCCTGTCAGGCCTGCTGGAGGGGGGCCTCCGCGGCACCTGGGGGGGGCCGGCAGGCGTTTGCTGGGTGGACAGGCTCCAAGAGGAGCACGTTAAGGGCAAGAAGGTCCTGAGGAGCACAGCGGGGAAGTGGGGGGCGGGGGCTGGAGGAGGAGCCGTGGGGGCGGGAAGGCAGGCGGCCCCGGTTGGGCAGCAGATGTGGGAGAGGCCGGGTGGCCGAGTGCTGGGTGTGAGCGCCTGTGGCCCTGGGGTCCCTGACGTGGACAGAGGGTGGCCTTGTTCCTTCACCGCCAAGCCCGGGCACGCCCAGGGTCACAGACTTCCTGGGCACTCTGGCCTTCTCGGTGTTCGTGTGTGAACGTGAGTAAGGATGCCTGTGTCTGTGTGTGTGTGAGCACACGTGGGCGTACGTGTGGATGTGTGTGTACGTGCCTGTGTATGTGTGTGCATTCGTGTATATGTGCATGAGTGCACTTGTGTATGTGTGCCTGTGTGTGTACACGCTGTGTTTACGTGTGTACATGTGTGTGCACAAGGGTCGTGGAGGTGGGGAGGGGGAGGGGTGGTGCCTTGCCTGGTGGGTTTGGGCTTCGCTGGCACCAGGCCCTCACAAAGCCTTGGGGTGGGGAGGCCGAAGCTGAGGCGGGCAGGTGCCTTCGTCAAGGTCCCGGAGCTCGTGAGTGCTGGGCTGGCATCTGGAGAGTGAGTTACGGTGACTCTGGGGCCAGCCTCCAAGGACAGCCGTGCTGGGGGCAGCTGCGGTGGGCCTGGAGAAGGGGCAGGGTTAGCGGTGCGGGGTGTACCTTGAGGCAGGGCCACCTCATCGTGGTTGGAGGGGGGAGTGGAAGAAGGAGAAAACAGGATGCGCAGCGTAGGTCCTGGAAACCAAGGACTTCTATTTCGTGTTACAAAGTAAACGTCTCTTTAGAGAAGTGTTTGCTGGGGCTCCATCATCTCATGGCTCTGCACCCTCTTCGGGCCGTTAAGTGCTGGCTGGGACCGGGCAGTCTCAGGCTGCTGGCCGCAGGCAGTGTGCCGGCTGTGGGGCCTCCCGCATTGCCCTGGGTGGTAGGCAGGCTGTGATCACCACCTCCTCACCTGCCACCCCCCTTCCCCAGCTCCCGGCCACACTCGCAGGCCATCCTGCAGCGCAGACCCCGGCAGCCATGACCTCCAGGCAGGCTCCCCTCTGTGGCCTGGCCCCTCGCTGCCTCTGGCTCCTGGGGGCTGTCCTTCTGATGGACGCGTCCGCCCGGCCCGCCAACCACTCGTCCGCTCGGGAGAGAGTGGGTAGCAGGGAGGAAAACGAGATCCTGCCTCCGGACCACCTGAACGGGGTGAAGCTAGAGATGGATGGGCACCTCAACAGGGATTTCCACCAGGAGGTCTTCCTGGGCAAGGACACAGACGGCTTTGAGCAGGACGCGGAGCCCCGGAGGAGCCGGAGGAAGCTGATGGCCATCTTCTCCAAGTAGGTGCTGCTGGGGCCCGCGGGGGGGCGTGGGGGGCTGGCCTCGGCCTCCCTGTCGGTCCAGTCCTGGTTCTGCGTGGCGCCGAGGTGACGAGGCCCCCCTCGGTGACGTGCTGTGGAGGTGGTGCCATGACACGTGCTCCTGGGAAGTTGGCAGCGTGGGAGCCGCGAGGCGGCAGCCCTGAGCTGCGCCCTGTGTCCGGCGGGGGCTCAGAGGGCGTGGGGAGGGCTGCGTGGGGCAGAGGCGCCAGCACCCTGCTGCCCGTGGGACTGGTCGCAGTGCCAGTTAGAGGCAGGGCCCATGGGCGCGGAGCTGCTGTTGGGCATGGTCGGCCGTCGGCTCCGCGCCGCCATCAGCGCTCCAGTGAGCGTGTGCGGACGGGGCTGTTTTGCTGGCCTGGAGCCACGACAGGTTGAGGTGATGGGCGGAGAGGGCCCATGGGGCAGGTGGTGGGGAGGGTGAGGGGTTTGGCCCGGGGACACCAGGCGGGCCCGATGGGTCTGCTCTCTGCACGCGTTGTGGGTTAGGCGCCCGCAGGCCGTGGGCTGGTCCGGGGCTCTGCCTCAGCGCCAGCCTGGCAGGTCCCAGGCTCGGTACTGGCGATACGGTGGCCGCCAGGGTCATGTGCCAGGATGCACGATGGGTGGCTCTTGGTTCTAGAAAGGAGACTGACTCTCTCGTGGGGGGCTGTGCGTGCACACAGGGGTCACGCGGCCGGGGGACCAGCTCTGGCAGCGTCCCCGTCGGTGAAGTGGGGGACCAGGGGCGGGGCGGCGGCCCCCCGAGGCGCCTAGCCGGCCGCCTGGCCCCCTGGATGCGCCCTCTTCAGTTTGAGGAACTGATCGTTGTCAGCGGCTGAAGTGACCGAAACCTCGTCCGGCGCCCAGACCTCACTGTCTCGTGAAGCCGGGAAGGAAGCTGTGAGCGGGGCCACAGGGCACGTGGCTTCTTCCAGGGATCAGCAGGGCAGCCGCGTGCACCAGGCCGAGGGGACCCCCGGAGCGGGGAGGAGTGGTGGCAGAGCCTCCCTCACAGCTGCTCTGGGAGTGGGAGTGGGGTTCAGGTGCGGAGAGCAGATCACCGGGAAACGCAGAAAACCGGGCCCTGAGGGGCAGGGCGTCCTGGGGCCATTGCAGCTGCGCTCTGCTGCATCCGCCCATGTCACGTGTCTTCCTTATACGTCCCGTGTCTAGCAGGTTTGTCATCGGGGAGCGTCTAGCCCGTGTTCACCTTCTCAGTCAGACCCCCCCCAGAGCTGTCCCACTTGGAGGTGCTACCATGGGCCCTGTGGGGCCCCCTGCCAGCTGCTGTTGCCTCCCCTGCACCCCGCCCGGGGCAGATCAAACACGTAGCCTCAAGACCTAGTTTTGAACAGATAGAAGTAATGTTGCACAGCACCTCTCAAGTGAGGTTTTTATTCTGGAGTGGTTTTAGGTTTACAGAAAGATGCAGACCGAGGCACACTTGTGGAAACTGAGACACGACGGTGCTCTGTTACTGTTCCCCGCGCTCCAGGCTGCAGGTCACGCGCTGCCCCAGGGTCCTCTTTCTGCCCGGGATCCCATCTGGGAGGCTACTTTTTTGTGACCTTGACCGTTTGGGGGAGGACCGCTCAGGTGTCCCTGATTTGGGCTTTGTCTGCTGTGTTTTCTCCTGGTTAGACAGGGGTTGTGGTTTATGGAAAGAAGACCCAAGAGGTGAGGTGGCGCTCTTGTCACATCACATCAGGGCACCTGACGTCCGCACGACATCACGGGGGCTGTCGGCCTGGTCACCTGGCTCAGGGGGGATCTGCCAAGGAGTGTCACTCCTTGTCCTGTCCTACCGTCTCTCTGGCAGCCACTCAGAGGGGCAGCCCACCCTCCCGGGGGTGGGAGCGAAGCTCTGGGGAAGACCCACCGTGTGGTCTGGAATCCCGTAAGGAGGATGGACACGTGGGTGTCGTCTGCGCTTTGGTGGGGACGCAGCTCCGCGCTGTCGGTTTGGCTGCCCACCTCATTCCAGCCTTGGCCGCCAGGACCTTGTCGTTGCCCACCCCTCCTACCCCCCGCCCCTTGTTGTGAGCGCTTCCTTCCTTTCTTGCACTGCCAGCCACGCCAGCTTCCCTTCATCTTGTTGTGTTCCCGCCTCAGCCCTAGAATCACCCAGTTCTCCAGGGAGCGCTGGTTCATTTCATGGGAGAGTGGGATTTAGAAACCGGGACCCAGCAGCGGGTGTGGGCGTTGCTGCTGGGATGTCCTTGCCTGTAGTCCTCTCCTATGTGTGTGTGTGCCAGCCCGTGCATACACGTGTGTTCTGACCCATGTCCACTGGTGTGCACTAGCCATGCACACACCCACATATGCACGTGAGTGTGTGCAGAGTGTACAGCTGCCGGCACACTTGCACCTACAGCTGTTTCTTTGTCTTGCTGGCTGTGTTTGTGTGAGTAGACAGGACTGTGCTCCAGTGTCTGAGCTCCAGTCCTGTTACCAGGGACTCCTCTTGGGTCCCAGGTGTGTGGGTCTGTGGACCCCGTCCTGCGGCAGGGGGGAGATTTGTTCCCCTCGCAGTGGTCCCGAGACGGATGGGGTAGTGACACTGCCCAGTGTCCTCCCTGATTCCCCCACTGTGTCCCCCACATCCCCCCGACGTCTCTTGCGTCACCATTGGGTGGGATGTGTTGCTCTTCGTGGTGGTTTTGTGGCTGCCTGCAGAACCCCTGTGGCCATCCTTCTGTCCGTACACCTGTCTGTTGGGGTGCTGGAGGCCTCGCCTGACACGTCTCGTGGGCCTGCAGGGTGGATTTGAACACCGACAGAAGGATCAGTGCCAAGGAGATGCAGCGCTGGATCATGGAGAAGACGGCCGAGCACTTCCAGGAGGCCATCGCGGAGAGCAAGGCGCACTTCCGAGCCGTGGACCCCGACGGTGACGGTATGGCCAACCTCGTCCTGACGCTGGTGGCCTGAGGCTGCTGGCGGAGGGCGGTGCCTGGAGGTGTGTGCGGGGGCGGGGCTCCAGGCCAAGGGCCCAGGAACGAGGAGGTGAGAGGCAGGAGGGGCCTGCAGGTGCTGCCAGGGAGACAGACGCCAGCTTGCCGTGCAGGCGGGGACCACAGGGCTAGGCTCTGTCGTGAAGCTTGGAGCCGTGTTTTGCTGCCCCTGCCTCTACAGATGCCCTTAGCACCAGTATTTTGGATTGATGGCTTAAAGTAACTAGATACGTCTTTTTAAAAACGTTCAATGTTGGGACTCCCCTGGCGGTCCAGTGGTTAAGACTCCTCACTTCCAACGCAAGGGGCTCGAGTTCGATCCCTGGTCGGGGAACTAAGATCCCACGTGCCCCACGGCGCGGGCAAAAAAAAAAAAAAGCGTTCGTTGTTAAACCTCCTAACAAGCTGTCTTGCTCTTTCAGGCCATGTGTCATGGGATGAGTACAAGGTGAAGTTTTTGGCGAGCAAAGGCCATGACGAGAGAGAAGTTGCTGATAAGATAAAGAATAAGTGGGACCTGAACGTCGACGAAGAGAGTAAGGGCTCGGCCTCCCATGGCCAGTGTGGTGCGCGTGACAGCACAGATGCCGGGAGGGAAGGGGGCGAGGCGGGTGTGGCCACAGCCGGGTGCTCCTGCGGGGCCGCTAGGCAGATCCCCCAGGACCCCCCAGGTGCTGTGGGTGGGTAGGTGCAGCCGGCGGCCTCAGGTGGGCTTGAGCTCCGGGGAGGAGGTGGCGGAAGCACCGGAAGCAGGTCTCGGCTGGGACAGGTCCTCAGTGCCAGATAAGGTCCGACCCCGGGAGTCGGCAAGGCCGGTGGGGGCTCCTGCCTGCGGTCCCTGGAGGCCGCAGTCCCAGCCGGCGCTCCCCTTAGCTTTTCAGAGACGTTCCTTTAAAAACCCATCTCCTGGTACAAAATTTGACGCCTTTTAGCTGAGCTCTGAAGCACCGCTGAAGAGTTCTCGTGACCTTCACTGGTTACTGTCTCCAGCTCTGTGCCATCCCGTCCCTCCCGGGGGTTCGTTCGCAGCCGGGTGTCGAGTTCAGCTCGTTGGGGGCTTTGTCAGAGCGCCGTGTGCTTCCTGTGTTCGGTCTCTACTGGGCGGGTCGTCCCTGCCGTTGTCATCCAGTGTGTCATTATCTCTCGATGGACGCGGGAGTGCCGAATTTTTACTGGGACGTCTCTGTACCTGTGATGCTACCCTGTTTGTCTCACGTGCACCTGGCCGTCAGGGTTGCGTCATGGCCTCCTGCTGGTGTCTGTGGCCCTTCCCGCCTCTGCTTTGTGACGGCTGCCGCTGTGTTCTTTGGTCCAGGGATGTTCGTTACTGTTATGTCTGTAGATGTGCTGTGGGCGCCACGGTTCTCTGTCAGGGTTGGTGTTTTTAGCACTGGACTCTCTCGTCTGCCATCAAGGTTGCAATCTGCGCCTTCTTTCTCTGTGCACTTGCTCTTTAGTTTTTAATTCCGAATTTCGCTTGTTCCCTGCTGTGGTGCAGGGAAGCCATTGGCTTCTGTATGGCAGCCTTCCGTCCTGTAGCCTTGCTGTGCTTGCTGAGTGGCTCCAGGAGTTTCTTGTCGATTCTTTTGGGTTTTCTACGTAGGCGATCGTGACATCGTTGAACAAAAACGGTTTATTTCCTCCTTCCCAATCAGTGTCTCTTTTATTCCTTTTCTTGTCTTAGGGCATCAGCTAGGACTTCCCAGTGAGATGTTGAAGAGCAGTGGTGAGAAGGGCCATCCTTGCTTTAAATCTGAGTTTAGTGGAAAAGCTTCGGCTTTCTCGCCATTATGATCTTAGCTGTGGGTTTTTAGTGGATATTCTATATCAAGGTGACGAGTCCCCTCTGTTCCTAGCGTGCTGAGAGTTTTCGTCATGAATGGGTGTTGGATTTTGTCAGATGCTTTTTTGCATCTGTTGATACGACCACGTGATTTCTTTTCATTAGCCTGTCGATGTGAATATCAGTTGAATTTCAGACGTTGAACCAACCTTGCCTACGTGGGATAAATCCCACTTGGTTGTAACATGTAATTGTTTTTGTATGTCGTTGGATTTGATCTGCTAATATATATATATATATATATATATTTTTTTTTTGTGGTACGCGGGCCTCTCACTGCTGTGGCCTCCCCTGTTGTGAAGCACAGGCTCCAGACGCGCAGGCTCAGCGGCCAGGGCATGAACCCGTGTCCCCTGCATCGGCAGGCGGACTCTCAACCACTGCGCTGCCAGGGAAGCCCCTGCTAATATTTTGTTGAATGTTTTTGTGTCTATAATCATGCGAGACATCAGTCTGTAGTTTTCTTGTGTCCTTTCTGCTTTTAGTGTTAGGACCTCAGAGGATGAGTTAGGAAGTGTTCACTCTGTTTCTCTCCTCTGGAAGAGATTGTGGAGATTGGTATGGCCTCCTTCCCACATGTTTGGTAGAATTCACCTGTGAACCGCCCTTGAGACTTGGTTTTTCCAAAGCATTTTGGTTTTTTATGGACTACGTAGAGGTTAGCTTTATATTGTGAGCCAGTCTGAATTTCTTGGTAATAGATGAGTTAAGCTCATTTGTTTCTATTGATATTTCTTTTTTTTCCTTTAATCTTTCCCTCTGCTAGCGTGGGATTTAGAGACCCCACTTTCCTTTTCTCAGCAGTCACATGACCCTGTGACCCTATCTGGTGGCCTGACAGGTGTGAATGGGGCACCCAGCTTTCCAGGTGTGCCCATGGGGGCTGCCCATTGTGGGCAGGTGTTTTGTATCTTACAGCTTTACTTTTTTCTTCTCAGTCTATCGTTGACCGTCTAAGTCAAGACCATTTTACTCTGTTCTGGGCAGTATAGAGGCCTCCTTCCTAGTTTGTGTGGTGTCACCCAGGATTTTGATTCTGCTGGTTTTTATTTATTTATTTAATTTATTATTTTTGGCTGCGTTGGGTCTTCATTGCTGCACACGGGCTTTCTCTAGTTGCCGCGAGCGGGGACTACTCTTCGTTGTGGTGCGCGGGCTTCCCATTGCAGTGGCTTCTCTTGTTGCGGAGCATGGGCTCTAGGCGTGCGGCTTCAGTAGTTGTGGCACGTGCGCTCAGTAGTTGTGGCTCGCGGGCTTTAGAGCGCAGGCTCAGTAGTTGTGGCGCACGGGCTTAGCTGCTCCGCGACACTTGGGATCTCCCCGGACCTGGGCTCGAACCCGTGTCCTCTGCATTGGCAGGCGGATTCTTAACCACTGTGCCACCAGGGAAGCCCCTCTGCTGTTTTTTAAAGCCTGTAAATAAGATGTTATTTTCTTCCTGAAATGGTTGTTGGCCATTTTTATGTTTGTCTCCATTTTGTGTTTCCACTGTTTGTCCTGGGTTCAGACTGTCCCCTGAACGTGTCCTTTAGAGGTGTCTGGGGGGGCCCCTGTCCTCCTACTGCCAGCACTGGAGATTTAGCACTGGCTCCTGGGGTAGCTGCCGGCCGTCTGTGCCTGCTTGTCTGTCCTCAGCGCCCTTTCCCTTGGGTGTGTGTGGGGTCAGGACGTGTTCTTCCTGGATCTAGAGCTCATGGTATCTCCATCCGCCCAGCCCTCACCTCACTCCCGTGTGTTCATGAGTCTGGGGCGGGGGAGGGGGGTGAGCAGCTCTGGGGGATCAGAAATGAAAAGCAGCTGTCGAGGGTCCCAGAGGAGGGAGAGCGTGGGGGAGGGCTGAGCTCATGTGGCCCCCCGGGGCCGCCGTCCCCTGTGCCGCAGACGGGGTCCCTCCAGGCCGCCTCCAGCTTCTGGTGCTGCCAGCGTCCCTGCTTGTGGCCACTGCTCTCCAATCTCATCTCCTCTTACACAAGGACACTGGGGCTTAGGGCCCACCTGAATCCCAGGTGGTCTCGTCTCAAGATCCTTTACTAATTTCACCTGCCAAGACCTTTTTTCCAGATCAGGTCGCGTTCGCAGGCTCTGGGTAGACACGGCAAGGCAAGCCTATGCCCGTCCCACCACTCCTGTCCCCGTGGCCGGGCAGGTAGGCAGTGGGCGATCCTGTAGTTGCCACGGCTCTTCTGTCCTTCTGTCAGAAGGCACGAGGTGTGAGGCCACAGGCGTTGTGTGGGGCTCTCCCCGTTGCGACCGGGCCGGGCCCGGCGTCCCTGTTCCCAGCGGGAAGCTGGAGTCGGGCCCCGGGTGAGGGTGCGGATTCTGCGCCGGCTTCTCCCTGCTCCCTGGCTGGACACCCAGCTCGTCAGCGACCACCGGCCCCAGGGGCCCCACGCTGGGCCTTCCCACAGTGGCAGGGGTGGCGGGGATCTCACAGGGGACGCGTGAGTCATATCTGGAAACTGAGTTTTCCCTCAGAGCCCTGCCCGGGACAGTGCACGGGCGGAGACGGAAGGGAAGCAAGTCGTGCCTTTGTTCCCACAGAGCCGGCGGCCCGCTTCCCGGGAACGAGCGGGGGCGGGGCTGTGTCTAAGGGGGTCTGTGTCCGGGGTGGGGGGAGGTCTGTTTCGGTTGAGGGTCTGCACCTGCATTTTGGGGCGCCTGTGTATCTGCGCCCCAGGGGGCTGAGGACCCCTCCGAGGGCCAGGCCCTTGGCCCCGCGTGCCACCACATCCTGAGCTGGCCCCCCCTGCACTCGGGCTGCGTGTCTCGGAACTTTCTGGATGTGTGCAGGGGTCCCGTGTGCGTGGGTCCTCACGGATGCGCGTCTCTCTCTCTCAGCACAGGAAGTCCTGGAGAACCTCAAAGACCGCTGGTATCAGGCGGACAACCCGCCCCCGGACCTGCTGCTGACGGAGAGCGAGTTCCTGTCGTTCCTGCACCCCGAGCACAGCCGCGGCATGCTGCAGTTCATGGTCAAGGAGATCATCCGGGACCTGGGTGAGGCCCAGCCGCGGAGGTCAGCACGGGCCGGTCCTGGGCTGGGTGGCCCGCGGGGGCTGTACGGCCGCTGTTTGGGGTCAGGCCGAAACCGCACAAACTGAAAACCTGGCAGCAAAGCCCCGTCAGTTGAGTTTTCTCCGGAGTGGCCTCAGTGGTCCCGCGCCCGCTGGAGTCTTGACGTCTGCCCCCGTGTCCCGCAGACCAGGATGGTGACAAGAAGCTCTCGCTGTCCGAGTTCATCTCTCTGCCCGTGGGCACTGTGGAGAACCAGCAGGGCCAGGACGTGGACGACGGCTGGGTGCGAGACAGGAAGAGAGAGTTCGAGGAGCTGATCGATGCCAACCGCGACGGAATCGTGACCGCGGCGGAGCTGGAGGTGGGTGTGGGGCCCGCTGCTCCGGGAAGCGGGGTCGGCCTGGCCGGACGCTGGGGCGGGAAGGCTGCGCGCCGCTGGACCCGCCTCCTGCCTCGGGAGTGTCTTCACTGGTGTCGCGTGTAGGTGCTGCGTGGGGCTTGTTTTTCCCCATTGCTGCATGAGTCATTTCATTTTAGCCGGAGCTCTCTGATCCCTGCTGATAGCAGCGGGACCCCCGGTTCGGGAGCTCCTTCCCCTCAGCACTGCCGCCCCGGCGGCCGAGCCGGTCCGTGCGCGTGTGCCCTGCTCCAGGGCCAGCCTTCTCCCTGTCCTGCCCTTCCGTGGGCGCGGAGCTACCCATGCCGGTGAAGGCTGCCTGTCCCCGAGCCACTTCCGGCCTGGCACCCACCTTCCAGAACGTTCTAGAACACTCCCACCTCCCTGCCCCGCAGCTTCTGTCCCACCAGCTCACGGGGTATTTCCAGCAAGGCCTCACCTCCTGGAGCTGGTTGTGGTGTCACAGCCCCGCTGAGGCAGGGGTGCCAGCCCGCATGGGGCGTCCTCCGGGCAGGGGTCTCGGCTGCGTGGCCGGATGCGGGCTGAACGTGAGGAGATGCCTCCGGCCCGGGGCGGCATGGGCTGTGGCGGGGCTGAGCCGGGGTCCTTGCAGGACTACATGGACCCCATGAACGAGTTCAGCGCCCTCAACGAGGCCAAGCAGATGATCGCCGTTGCCGACGAGAACCAGAACCACTGCCTGGAGCCCGAGGAGGTGCTCAAGTACAGCGAGTTCTTCACGGGCAGCAAGCTGGTGGACTACGCCCGCAGCGTGCACGAGGAGTTCTGAGCCGCCGCCGCCGCGCCCGCCCCGCCCCGCCCCGCCCCGCCCCTCCCGCGGCGCCTCAATTCCCGCGATTCCCGCGTACCCACTGCTTCTCGCTTCCGAGAACTGGAGCCCTTCTGCCAGAGGCACCGGCCGCATCAGGGCCTGCGGGCTGCCACACCGTGGGAAATACGCAGCTCCCGCCGTTTCCTTGAACACTGAAAGATGAAGGCTTTGCTGGAAATCAGCAGCCGGTGGCTGGGGGGTCGGCAAGGGGCCGTGAGAGCCGCCGGCCCTGTGACGTTCAGTCTCTGAGGAAACGCTAATACTGGTGACAGGAATCACATTAATTTACTTTGAAATATAGTTTCCTTTTTCTCCCAGCTTCTTTTTTTTGGTGGGAAAAAAACACGTAGACGATACTTCGGATGTCTGTGGCCAGGCGGCTTCCACTTGAAGCTTTGCGGTGGGCGGTTTGGTTAGAGCAGGGGCTTGCTAGCGCCGGTGGTCACCTGCGACACGGGGGAGGATGACACGGGGCCGCCAGGCGGGACGGTGTCCTGGTGGGGGACAGGGAGGGGCCGTCTGCAGGGCGGGAGTTGGGGATCTGGGCTGCAGATTTAAAGTCAGGAGCTGGAGTCCAGGCCTGGCTGAGGCCACTTGGGAGGGGCTGGGAGGAAATGGGAGTTTGGGGTGGAGGGGGCTCTGAGGACGAGCCCTGGGCCCCCAGGGCGCGGGGCTGGGGGCAGAGAACTGGGGGAGTCCCCAAGAGCCACCCAGAGTCCTGGCCTGGGGCGTGGGGGGGGGGGGGGGGGGGGGCGGCCCGGGGGGGTCGGGAGCCTCTGGCGGGAGGGGTGAGACCTGGTCCCCCCGGCCGCGGCCCCACCACCACACCGGGCCCTTCCGCCGGGGTTGGCATGCCCGCTGGCTTGGCTGGGCTGCGGGCTGGGGGGGGGTGGGCAGTGAGAGTTAAGTGACAGGGGAGGGTCTCCACTCTACGTACCCATGAACCTGGCCCCCCGCCGGGCCCCCCTCAGAGCCCTGAGCCGTGGCCCATGGTGCCTCGGTGGACGGCTCACCCGGCCAGGGGGTCCGCACGGGCCTTTGAAGGTCCTGCTGGGGTTGGAGGCTCGGGCCGGGTGGGCAGAGAGGCTGCCCTGAGCTGCCCACGTGACCTGCTTCCGAGCAGCAGCGTGGGGAGGGGCCACCGCAGAATCTGGGCTGGTTTCCAGACAAACGAGAGGAAAGACTTTTCAGAACTGCGACCAGAAGGCGGGGTGGGAGGGCGGGGCCCGTGGCTCTGGCCGTGTGGGTGGGTGGCCACCAGCAGGTGGGACGCTGAGACAGAGGTGCGGGCCGGCCCCCGTGCGCTGCCCGGAGTCGGGGCCTTGGGCAGGGGGCGGGCGGCCTCCCCTGCCATGGCCCCCGTAAGGCGTGGGGTGCTGCCCGCCAGACCCCGAGTTACCTCCACCTCAGCAGCTATGGTTTGTCTTAAAATAGTTTTTCTCACCGTCAGTGGGAGACGGGGCACAACACGCGCACGCACAAGTGTGCACAGCAGGCTGCCTGGAGCCCTGCCCCTCCCCCATGGACCCTCCCTCTCTTTGGAGGCTGAGGGCGACGACCCTGCGGTGGCCCCTGCCCGCAGGCGGAGCTGGCTGGCGGAATTTCCCGCAGGTGGGCAGGGAGCCCCACATCCTACCTGTGCCCCCAGGAGGTGGGGGGTTTCCAGCCACTGCAGGAGGCCTGCACCCCCCACCCCCCCACCCCCCGCCGCCAAAGCTTCAGGTTAACCATTAAGCAGATAATCCTGTCTCGTGGTTCAGATTTAAAAGCACCAAAGACATACGGCCTCCCTGCCTTGGGCCACCAGGATCAGAGCTTTGCATGAGAGGGAGCATGTACACACGTGTGTGCATGCACGTGTGCATGTGTGTGCATGGGCACCTGTGCTCCTCCCTCGTGCCCCACGGAGGGCCGGCACAAAGGCCCTCCCCACCTGTCCTGAGGACACGGGAGCTCTCTTTCCTGTCCCAGTGGTGCTGCAGGAACACCCTAAACCTGGGGTGGGTGTGGCGCAGGGAGAGCCTGGCATGGCCTCCAGAGTTTTTAGGGAGATAGCCCCTGCCCGGCCAGGGGGCAGAGCAGAGAGTCTGTCTTCACGGGATACCTCGCCCCAGGCACGTGCCCAGGTGCTCATGGGAGCAGCACACACACATCCCGGCATGTGGAGCCAGCGCCACACACGTGTGCTGCACACACGGCTGGCGCACGCTCCCAGGCACACGCCACCCCCAGGGCACCGGGCAGGGCTTGCCCAGCAGCACGTGTTCGGTCTGCTCGGGTGGCTTGCAGCACAGACGTTTACCCTCTGCTAGTCCTGGAGGCTGGACGTCCAGAGACCGAGGAGTGGGCAGGGTTGGTGTTTCCTGAGGCCTTTTTCCTCCCTGTGTCCTCACATGGTCGTGCCCTGTTCGTGTCTGTGCCCTGCCCTCTTCCTCTTGTAGGGACACCAGTCACACTGGATCAGGCCCACCCTGTGACCCCACCCAGCCTTTATGGCCTCCTGAGAGGCCCCGGTCTCCCAGTACAGCTGCACGGGGATCAAGCTTCCACATGTGGGTTTAGGGCACTAACGTGAATTTAGTCCCGGATGCCTGCTGTGTTCAAGGATGCTCGGCTGCTCTCTCCCTCTCACACCAGCACACACCCTCACGTGCTTGCGCACTCACTGTGGGCACTGGTCATGAGGCATCTGACCCACCAGGGCTGCTGGCATTGGTCCGAGCTAGTTTTGGACAGCTGGGCCAGTGACCATGCTCTGGAGCCCTGGACACCACCAGCCCTCCCCCTGCACCTGATGTCTGACCCAGTGTGCTGCCCTGGCTCACCCATGTGCTCTGGGCACCCTTTTGTGGGGCAGGGGTGAGGACTGGCCTCAGGGTGAGCCCCCTGCTCCTCTTTAGGGCTCTGCCCTGCAGAGAGGGAGGCGGCCAGGAGGAGTGAGCCAGGTGGAGGGATCCCAAGACCACCCCGGTCTGGGCAGCTTGGCCAGGCTGGGCAGGGCAGGGGGATAGCCAGGATGCCTGGCCGAAGGGGCTCCAGTTTCCTGGGAGACAGGAGTGGGAGGGGTCCAGGGGGAGGGGTCGGTGCAGACTGGCTGGGCTGGAGGACCTGGGCTGGTGTCCCTGGCAGGGGTCAGGGGGCTGCGGGTTCTCACTCAGGCCCCGGATCTGCACACTGCAGCTGCTGACTGGGCCAAGCCTGAGGCCTACGGCCGTTATCGCGGGGTTGGGGGCCTTGGCGCCCAGGGTAGAGGAGAAGCCCAGGGCCGGGACACAGGCTGCCTTCCAGTGCTTCCTGGGGCCTCCTTCCTCCTGGTCCCCTCCTCCTGCCCTCCCCACCCCTCCCCCGCAGCCCTTATAGCCACATCCTGCAAGGAAAAACCCCAGACTCCCGAGCTGTGGGGCTGAGAGCAGCCGAGAATGCGCGTGGGAGCCCAGCCACCCAGGGCGCCGGGCTCGGCCTTCCTGCTCCTGGGGCTCGCGCTGGGCGCTGCGGCCCAGCTCAGCTGTGTTGGGGACACCTACCCCAGTGGCAGCAGGTGCTGTAAGGAGTGCCAGCCAGGTGAGTGGCCTGGACGTGGAGTGGGGGAGGGGTGCCTACAGGGACCCAGGATGAGGAGACGGGGTCAGGGGACACAGGGACCTACAGATGGGTCACATGGTGAGGCACCGTGAGGCGAGTGGACTTAGGGCAAGTGGGTGACCTGGAGCCACGCCTGGGATGGGATGGCGGGCCAGCCAGAGGCGGTCGGGGGCTGCTGTGGGGAAGGCCAGGCTGTGGGGAGCTCTGAGCCCGGCCTCCCGTGGCAGGTTATGGGATGGAGAGCCGCTGCACCCAAGCCCAGGACACGGTGTGCCGTCCGTGTGAGCCCGGCTTCTACAACGAGGCGGTCAACTACGAGGCCTGCAAGCCCTGCACACAGTGCAACCAGAGTGAGCACCGCCAGGCGCCCCGGCCCCGCTGGTACCCACTTCACACGGGGCCTCGGAGCAAACTCCAGACCACGCCGGGGCCTGCCCTCCCCTGCCCCAGAGTACCACAGTCAGCTGAGGCCACCCATGGGGCTCCTCCCCCTCCCAGAGGGCCAGGGCCATGTGGCTGAGTGGGTGAGACCCAGAGTCAAGGACCACAGAGGGTCCTGAGCAGGCTGGAGGAGGGGTGGGAAGAGCGGGCAGAGCTGCCACGGGGCGACCCCTGGGGCTGTGTGGCCAAGAGGGACATGGCATCCGGGGATGGGAGAGGACCAGAGGCCACCCGGCTGCGAGGGGGCAGCTGGCCCCGGGGGAGGTAGCTGCAGACCCTCAGCCTCGGTCCTCCAGCCTGCTCTGTGTCTCTGGTCTCCCCACTGACTGCGCCCACCCTACCCGACCCCCAGGAAGTGGGAGCGAGCCCAAGCAGAGATGCACACCCACGAGAGACACGGTCTGCGGCTGCAGGCCGGGCACCCAGCCCCAGGACGGCTATGGCTACAAGCGTGGAGTTGGTGAGGGGTGCCTCTGGAACCATGTGGAAGGAGCATGTCCCTCACACGCTGTCACCTCCCCTCAGCACCCCGACCCCAGGCTTGGCCGAGTGCCCTCTCCCCCCGGCAGGTCAGGCCAAGACAGGGGCTGGGGGGCTCCCAGGTCGTGGCCAGTGGATGGCATGTAGGCAGAGAGGGGCTGCTGGAGGCCCTGGGGGGTGAGCGTCTGGGGCCCCCAGGGGTGGCAGATGGGCAGAGCCTGCTGACTCTGTTGCAGACTGTGCCCCGTGCCCACCAGGACACTTCTCCCCGGGCAACGACCAGGCCTGCCAGCCCTGGACCAAGTGAGTGTCCCCGGGGCTGGAGGGTTTGGGTGGCCTGGGGTCTGGGAGCCAGGGGTCAGATCTGGGAGTAGGAAGCTGCTGGCTGGGAGCTCCGGGGCCTGGCACCCCGTGGCCCCTTCCCCCCCATGTTAGCACCCCCGCCCCCCGACGTTGGTCCCTGCCCCACCCCCACAACCCCTGCTTGGCCCTGACCCAGCCTCCTCCCACTGGCCTTCCTGCTGGGCTGGAGTGGGGAGGCCGTGAGACCCCAGCCCAGGCCCGGGAGGGTGTGAGACCCTCACTCATTCACAGCTGAGAGGCCCCCGTCCTTGTTGAGCTGACCTGGTGGGGGCAGGAAAAGAGCAGGCAGGGGTTTGGGAGAGAGGGGTGCAGGCGGGAACAGGTCAGGGGAGCAGGTGTGGGAAGCAGGCTGAGAAGGCGGGGGAGGCCGGGGGAGGCCCAGGCTCCTGGGGGCTGGCAGGGACCTTGGCCTCTCTCCTCGCCGCCTTTGGGCTGGACTCTGATGCTGCCTGAGTGACCCTCTGTGGACCCCTGTCGCCCCTCACATCTCCCTGGTCCTGCCCCAGTTCTCGGCCCGTCCCACTGGTGGGGGACGAGTGGGGTGGGGGACATTCTGGCCTGATCAACACCCTTGCCCCGCTCAGCTGCACCTCATTAGGAAAGCGAACACTGCAGGCGGCCAGCAACAGCTCGGACGCTGTCTGTGAGGACAGGAGCCCCCGACTCACACCAGCCTGGGAGACCCAGGGCCCCGCAGCCCGGTCCACCCCCGTTCAGCCCACCACCACCTGGCCGAGGGCCTCACAGGGGCCCTCCACGCCCCACGCAGAGCCCCCCAAGGGTAAGGGGGCCTGGCCTCGCCCCAGCAGGGCCCTCCCCCAACCCAAGGGGGGTGGGGTGGCGGGGAGGGTGGGTGGAGCTGCCCGCTGGCCTGGGTGCGGCCCTCCTGCGGTGGACTCCTTCCCTGGTGGACCCCACCCCAGCGGGCCCTGCCTCCCCGCAGGCCCTGAGCTGGCCGCTGTCCTGGGCCTGGGCCTGGGCCTGGGCCTGCTCGGCCCCGTGGCTGCTGCGCTGGCCTTGCTCCTGCACCACAGGGCCTGGAGGCCGACGCCCAACGCCCCCAAGCCCCCCGGTGAGTGCTCTCGGTGGGCCCCAGAGCGCGCTGCCTGTGGGAGGCTGGGGCCCCCGCCCACCTCCCGCCCCCCACCCCTCACCCCTTCCTCCTCCGCAGGGGCAAACAGCTTCCGGACCCCCATCCAAGAGGAGCATGCCGATGCCAACTCCAGCCTGGCCAAGATCTGAGCAATGTCCGCTGGCGTAGGAGCCGGTGCCCCTCCCCAGGCTGGGGCCCCCAGACGCAGGCCGTCCCACCCCGTCACCCCCAGACCCTGGCGCCCTGTCCCCCCGCCCTGTGCCGTTTTAGGCGCTCCTGGGCTGGCATCCTGGGCCCTGCTATGTATGCTGTGCGTACTCCCCACCCAGGGTGGCCCCAATAAACGACGTTGGCAAATGTGGGCCTCTGACTGGGCACCAGTGGTCTGAGGGCTGCACACACGGGGGCTGGCTGTGGGGTAGGGGCTCCTCTGGCTCCCTCAGAGACCTGGGGCTGCTGTCCCGCTTGCTGGGCACCTCCCAGCGCCTCTGGGGAGCGTGGCAGCCAAAATAAGTGCATGGGGAGCCGCGAGCCCTGCCTGGCAAGCGCGATGCTAGCCCGGCCCGACGGACCCCACGCACCCACTCTGGGGAGCCGCGAGCCCTGCCTGGCAAGTGCGATGCTAGCCCGGCCCGGTGGACCCCACGCACCCACTCTGGGGAGCCGCGAGCCCTGCCTGGCAAGCGCAATGCTAGCCTGGCCCGGTGGACCCCACGCACCCACTCTGGGGCTACTTGGGAGGGCCAGGCAGGAGCTGCTGGGTGGGAGGGAGCCCTGAGGAGGCACTGGTCCCAAAGGGGGTTTTAGGACAACCCCTCAGGGTCTCTGGGGCCCCTCCCAGGAGAGGGCACGAGCGTCTGTTTCTTCTCAAGCCCCACGCCCTGTTAGACCTGAGTGTGCGGTGACCCTGGGACCCCCACTGATGCCTGCAGGGCCCCCGAGTCCCTCAGGGAAACTGGAGGCTTCTGACTGCGCTGACCCTTCGTCCACCCTGGGCGCGAACAAAATGTGCAGCTTTATGTGAAAACGTTCCCAGGTGGGAAACCCAAGCGTCCGTGGGCACCAGAGTGGGCTGTACGAGGCCGAGTGGTCGGACAGGCCCGCTGACTGGCACTGGGGGCAGCCCCTGCTCTGGCAGCTGCGCAGACTTGGGGCCGAGCCCGCCCTGGGGACACAGGACTGAGCCGTGGGCTGTGGCCCGCCACCCCTCCCCCCCCACAGCGCCCCTCCGTGCAGGCGAGGTGGGCGGGTTAAATGGCTCATCTAAGCGCTGGAGCTGCGGCCAGCGAGGAAACGCTCCACAGCCCATAGGCTGCCCATAGTTTGCGCCCTCGGGGTTTGTGATAGATTTAAGAGCTACTACTAACCGAAATAAAAGACCACCGAGGTGCTGGGCAGGGGGTCAGGCGTGGGGTGGGGGTGGGAGGTGGGAGCAGAGAAATGCGACAGCCCGAGGCCCCCCACCGGTGGACCTGGCAAAGATGCACACCTCTGAGCTCCCAGCCTGCTACCTCCCTTCACCCACCTGTGGGCCAGGACTGGGCATCATCCCACAGGCCAGCGCCCTCACAGCGGCCAAAGGTCCGCCCCTGACACGTGTGCTGCCCCCCCCCGCCCCCCAGTTTCTCAGGCTGGCTTTCTCCGCAGAGCTGCCCTGGAGGCCCTCCCACCTCTCCTCAAACCTCTGAACCCTGGCTGGTCCCTCGGACCTCCCGGGGGCAAAGGGGAGACCGAACCATCCACGTGTTCTTGGAAAGATCTCGGGTTGCAGCAGTGAGCACAGTACGTCCTCTCTGCCCTGGAAACGGGCAGCGAACAGGCACCACTGGCCTGGGGCCTGTGGTCCCTGGGCAGTGTGCAGGCTGTGCAGAGAAGCTAAGGGACCTGATGAAGGGGCCTGGGGGAGGGGCCAGATCCTTGGGGAAAGGAAGGTCGAAGGTCGTGGGCTTCCTCCCCAAACTTCCCAGCTGCGAGCCCCCCACCTTGCCCCCAGCCTGGTGGCTCCACCTCTGAACAGCTGACGGGTGGGTGGAAGGAGGTTGGTCACCTTCACTTTCCTCGGCTACTGCCGGTAAGCACGCTCTCCACTCCCTGTCTCTGCTGACAACCGCCCCTCCCGTGTGAAACCCCGCCAGAGCTCCCCCCACCCCCCGGGGGGCCCACAGGCACCCACCCTGGCTCCTCCCTGCTCCAGGGCCCCACCTGGCTCCCCATCCTGCCCCCACAGCCCTCCAGGTTAACCCCTGGACTCTGCTTGGGACCCTCTGCCCCGTGAACGTGCGTCACTTGTGTGAGCTGAGACAAATGATGAAAAATGTGACGAGCTGCTCAAAGAGTATAGGAAAATACCGCGAGCAGATAGAAATCTGCTCCCCCGCAGTGCCCGGTTACAGAAGCTCCGCGGTAACCCTGTGTCTGTGTGGGAGGGGCCTTCCAGAGCCTCAGGGACAGGAGAGCAGACGCAGGCCCCCAACCCTGACACGCTTTTGCCTCTTGTTACACACAACCCTGCCTCTGGTTTCCTGCTGCTGCGGGTGGCAGCCCCCTCGGGCAGACAGCTGCCCCCTGGTGCCTGATGGGCTGGCCCAGCTTCCAGAAGGGCCAACAGATATGATCTTGTCAGACAAACGTCATTTGTAGGGGATTTATCATATTTTCTCAGGCGCTTACCAGAATTGGGGTGATGCCATCCTGGTACAGAATGGACTGCTCAGGCCTTGAACATGGGCAGAAGGGCCAGGACTGCTGAGCTCTCCACTCCTGACCTTTCCCTGGGGTCCCGGGATGGCTCAGACCCTCCTCCCCATCTAGGAGCTGAGCCGAGGTCTGGGGGTGTCCTCAGACAGGGTGGCCTCACCTTACCCCCTAGCAGCCAGAGCTGTCCTGGAGACCCCTCCCTCTCCTGCAGGGCCCAGCTGCTTCTCTGAGGAGGGCCCTGCGCATCCTGAGACTTGAAAACAATAGTTGAGTCACAAAACTGCTAATCCCTGTCATTTCCCTCTGAAAGGGACAGATGCCCCATCAGACGAGGCGGCAGCTGCAGGTCTCAAAGGGTCTCAAACCAAGTCTTCTGGGTCTGCCCAGGTCACCAGGTCACAGCCGGCAACACACCTCCAGCCGGTGGGCACCACCAGAATCACATTCCTGGCACCCCACTGCCCACCCCTGCAGCGTTCCCAGAGGTCTCCACCCGCTGCTGCCCCTGTACCAAGCCTCAACTGGAGGGCCGAGAAATCTGGGGAGGCTTCCTGGGGGAGGCCGGGCCCCCAAGCCCTTTGGTGCCAGGTGGGGAAACTGAGGCTCAGACAGACAAGAGACAGTCTCACGGTGAGTTGGAGGCTGAGTTCTCTGTGGCTCAAGAGCTCCGTCGGGGCCGGCCTTCCACATCCTCCAGGATGACTGGATTTGTGTGGGGAGATCTGGGTTGACATCTGCCCAGCAGAGTTGCAGCCTGGGCAGCCCCCTCTTCCCCCAGCATCAGGGTTCAATCAATGCCCTGGTCTCTCCTAGCCAGCTCTTCCCAGCAGGCATCAGCGAGGCTGCAGCCCGCAAGTGTGTGTGTGGCTATGGGGGGGCTTGCATGTCAAGAGCCCAGCCAGGTCCCGTTGGCCAATTTGGGGCGGGGTGGGGGGGAGCTTGTTCTAATCTCCAGAAAGGCAGGGTGCAGGGGGCTTGTCCTGACCCCCGGATGGGTTCTGAGGCTGCTCAGTGCTGGGATTCGAGGACTTCTGGTAGGTGTGGTGTCTGGGGTCTGGAGGCTTCACAGAGGACGAAGGGCCTCATCCCACCTGCTCTGGGCGTCAGAGAAGATCTTTAGAAGCCCGTGGGGTCCCCCTGAAGAAGCTGGGGGTGGGGAGGGGGCTCGGCCAGGAATGGCCCCTGCTGAGCCCACCCTTGTTGGGGGTGCGCCCCACCCCCAATGACTCAGGGCGCTGTCTGCCACCCCGCATCCGGTGCCCACGCACTCCAGTTCCTTCAGGCCCGGAGGCCACAAGTTTTACATAGAAAACATTTCTGACCCCCTTCCCCCCCCCCCCCCTCCCCAAGGATGTGGCTGGGTATACGCGCGCGGTGTTTCCCCCGACAAGGCACACACATTTGGGTCATATTTAGTTTCCGGATAAGAATGCCTGGGCCAAAGGGCATGATCACTTAGGAATCCCCCAAGGTCACCCCCCCCATGTGGGTCTCCCGCATGCCCCCTCGTCCGTGGTCAGGTGCTCTGCAGCCTGTGATGGGACCTTCTCTTCTCCCTTGGGGTCCCTCTGGGCATGCCAGATCTCAGTTCCCCGACCAGGGATCGAACCTGGGCCACTGGCAGTGAAAGCGCAGAGTCCCAACCACTGCACCACCAGGGAAGTCCCATCCCTTGAAGTTTTTAAAAAAAGAATTTATCTTTTATAGCAGTTTTAGGTTCACGGCAACAGCGAGGGGAAGCCTACCCCCCATAAATATCCCCGAAGAGTGTGCATTTGTTACACACGACGAACCTGCACTGACAGGTCATGTCACCCAGAGTCCCTAGTTGACACCAGGGTACCTCCGTGCGGACAGACGTGACGACACGTGCCCACGGCTGAAATCTCCAGAGCAGTCTCACTGCCCCAAACCTCTGCCCATGCCCTGGATTCCGAGTCGCAGAGTCTTGGGGGGTCCCCCATGGGAACAATTCCTCGGGACCCCTTTGGGAGTGGCAGAGGCGGGGCGGCCTGCGGGGCGGGGTCTGGGCGTGTTCGGAAGGGGCCGGCCTCCTAAAACCGCGGAGCCGCGCGCGGCCATGGGTACCGCGGGTGCCATGGGGGTGAGGGTCGCGCGCGTGGCCCTGTGCGGCGTCGCGCTGCTCTGCGCGCTGGGCCTGGCCCAGCACCCCCCCCGGGGGTCTGAGCTGCGGCCCCGGCCGCCATCTGCATGGGACGGGGACCAGCGCGCGCTGCTGCCGCTCGTGCACCCCAGGTAAGGCGGGCCGGGAGCCCCTGCGCGGAGGGCAGAGCGCTGCGCCCCGTCCCCCCGTAGTTTTCCGAGTCCAGAGCCCTGATCCCAGCGCAATCCGGGGAGGCGGAAGCGGCCCAGACCGGGCCAGTGGCCTGGGGGTTGGGGGGTGGGCGGGGGCAAGGAGTGTAGGAGCCTTCCCCAAGGCAGGTCTGACGTCCCAAGGTGGAGGAGGGCTGTCCCCGTTCCTTCCGAGTGGGGAGTGCGCCCTTGGCTATCACTCAGGCCACTTCTTGCCCAGTTTGGGGTTGCACCCCTCTTTCTCCCAGCTCCCTGCCTCAGACCTGCATCTATGGGTGAGGGGCAGGTGAAATGGGTCAGTTTGGGGACAGATATTGCAGGGAAAACACCCAGAGTGTCCCCCTGCCAGGACCTGGGGAGTGGGAAGGGGGCTCTGAAAGTCCAGGTCTCAGTGCGGCGGAGCCATGGACGGCGGTCAGGGAGGGACAGGCAGGCTGCCTCAAGAGTCCTGGCAGCTGAGGGCAGTGCAGGACCCGGACAGGGGAGGGGCAGTAGGTCTCCCAGGAAGGAACGGCTCAGGGTCACATGCCGAGTCGTGGCCACCCTGGGTGGGAGCAGCTTGGGACGGTTGGGGGATGCAGCCAGGCCTGGTGAGTGGAGGAGCTGGGCACCCAGGAGGGAGGGACACAGCTGGGCCGAGCCAGGGTCCTGGCTTCCAGACAGGTGTGCTGCCCGCTGGGGCTGCCCTGCCACCCCCATTTCCCTGGAGGGCCAGGAGGGGGGCGTCCAGGGGAGGGCGGCTCGGCCCAGCTGCTGAGAGGGCTGCTTGTCCCCTGCCCAGCTGACGGGGTCTGTCCTGAGCTGGACTGCCAGTGTATCCAGCCTGAGTTCCACTGTGGAGACCCCCAGTGTAAGAGCTGCAAGTACTACTCCTGTCCACCTGGCCAGGGGGCATGGCCTGTAGGTAAGTGGCAGGTGGGGGTGGCCCGGGCAGGCCAGGTGTGCAAGGAAGATCGCAAGTGGTGGGTACGGACACGTCCTCCGGGCAGGTGGGCGCCAGCACTGGGGGTCTTGCAGCACCCTGGCGGGGTAGGGGGGCGCTCTCTGGCTTTAGCATCTCAGCCCACATTGGGGTCACAGTGCCTCCTGTTGGTGTGGCTCTGGGAGCCTTTCCTTCTCTCTCTTGGCCTGAGCTTCTCCATCCAGAGACGATGCCCCTAAGCGCTGGTTGTGAGGAACAGTGGGGGTATCCAGAGGCTGTCTGGCCCTTAGGCCCTGGCTCTGACTATGCCCAGGTCCTGCACTCACCCTGACCCGATGCGGGGGCGCCTGGCTGAGCACATGTGGGCCGGGAGAGTGAGGGCAGAGGGGGTGCTGTGTGAGGTTGGATGGCGCCGGGCCTAGAGGCAACTGGGGCAGAGCCTCACCCCTCTCTCCGGGACCCTCCCCGGCCTCCCGCCTTCCGGCCTCCGGACCGAGCGAAGGCCCAGCCTAGTTGTTGCCTGGCCTCGGCTTCCACCCCTTCCTCCTGCCACATACCCTCCAGCCTCTGCAGGCAGGTCCCTCCCCTCCCCCATATCCCCATCAGGGACCCTCCACTGAGCCCCGAGTCATGGCCTGCCCTGGAAAGGGGCACATGGGGGACCTGATTTATCCCAGGTCCTGGTCCTGTGGCCACCTGGGGCCCCTGTCAAACAGATGAGGTGGGGGTCCCTGTGCTGTGGAGCTGGACACCAGGTGGGTCTCACCTCGGCCACACCAGCTGCCCTCGCAGCCTGTGTCTGTCTGTCCGTCTGTCTCCAGGGAAGTTCAACTTCGGCTTCGAGTGCTTCGACTGTGCCGCGGGGACCTTCTCTGGGGGCCGTGAGGGCCGCTGCAAACCTTGGGCAGAGTGAGTCCTGGTGGGGACTTCCGGTGGCCGGGTGGTCCAGGTGGCCTCGAGGGTGGGGCCTCTGCTGTCCCTTCTGGTGCACTGACCCCCCCACCCCCCAACGGTTCGGAGGGCAGCAGCCTTGCTGAGGGGCTGCTCAGGTGGCCGAGGGCTGACCGAGGGCTCTGTGTCCGTGCGTCCCAGCTGCTCCAAGCTTGGGTTTCCCACTGTGTTCCCCGGGAACAAGACGCACGATGCCGTGTGCAGCCCAGGGCCGCCGCCCACGGAGCCGCGTGGCCTGCTGACCGCCGTCCTCGGCCTGGCCGCCTGCATCCTGGCCCTGACCGTGGCCCAGCTCAGCCTGCACGTCTGGCAGCTGAGGAGGCAGAGAGCGCGGCCCCCAGGTCAGTTGTGCCCTGGGGGCGGGGAGGGGGGCCCCTGCCTGCCTGCTAACCGCAGCCCCTCTGCAGAGACGCAGCTGCTCCTAGAGGCCCCGCCCCCCCCGCCTGAGGACGCCCGCAGCTGCCAGCTCCCCGAGGAGGAGTGGGGCGCGCCGCTGTCGGAGAGCAAGGGCCGCCTGGAGCACCTGTGGGTTTGAGGCCCCCCCGGAGCTGGCGCAGGCTGGCCCTGGGCCCGGCCCTGCTCCCCTCAATGGCGGAAACAGGTGGGGGATGGTGACAGTGACCAGTGCCCCGGATCACGCAGGAGAGGAGGCAGCTGTGGCTGGACCCCAGGGGGACAGAGGCGCACCGTGGCTGCCTGCCTCTCTTGCTGGCCCCGCTGGGGTGGGGCCCGTGGCTCCTTGGTTCCCAGGACAGGAGGCCGTGGGACCACAGGACCTGGCTGCAGGCGGCACTCAATAAACGTTTGTCCGGTGGCCTGAGTGGCCGTGTGCTGGGAGTGGGGAGGGGACAGGCTCCGGGGTCTCCCCCGCCAGTTCTCACAGCCCCCTCCCAGTCTAGGTGGGGGGAGGGGGTAGAAGCTAAGGCCATTCCAGTCCTAGACACAAGCCCTCAGCCGAGACCACGGGGCGGCCTGCTGTGCCGCTGGGCTGCCCCGTCCAACACTTGTCCTCCAGTGGCCTGCCTGGCCCTTGTTGGGACACTGGGGTCCTTGGTGTGTGTCTGGTCTCTGGGCCACCGCTGCTCCGGCTTCTGGTTCCGGGCTGGCCGCACATCCTGCTGGCCCCTGTGGGGCACCGGCCCTTGCGTCACTGGGGTCCCCAATCTGGGGCAAGGTCAGTTTCTATACCCAACACTTCCTGGAGGATGTGGACAGCCTCAGAATGGCCTGGTTCGTTTGGCAGGGCTCCCGCCCTCTCTCCAAGCCCTCCTACTGGCCTCCGTCACCTCACGGGACTCTCTCCCTCGGGGCGGGGAGTCTGATAAGGACTCTGTGGCATCCAGGGCGTGGCAGGCAGTCTCAGCGGCTGCACTCTCCAGGTGCCAGCACACCTGGCCACCTGTCTGTCTGTGGCTCAGTGCTCTAGCACAGCACCTCCCCCACCTACCATGCCCTCCCCTCCCACCTGCACGCTGCCCGAGAGCCCCTTGACCCCGACCCAGTCCCGGTGGGCAGGTGGGCCCAGCTCACAGAAGGCAGGTGGAGGAGAGAGGGTTCTGCGTTGCCCTCCACCCCCCACCACATGGGGCACTGCCCACTTCCACCCCTGGAAGGAGGCGGGGGGTGGGGGGGGCTCTGGGACCACCCACAGGGGAAGGACCCCTCCCTCAGCCCCTTCTCCCAGCCCCTCGGCTCCTGGCTCTGGGCAGCCCCTGGGGCCAAGTGAGCGACCTCAGGGGAGACAGCCAGGTGTTCCGGGACCTGCCTGCCACACCCCTTGGCCCCTCTGTCCTCAGGCCAGATCTCCTGTCCTGCCAACCCCTCCCCCACCCACCTCTGGGTCCCTTGACTGCCCCACTCCCACGTATGGGAAAGGGGTCCCCAGCCCTGGCCCAGCCCCCTGCTGAGGCTGTGAGTCAGGTGTCGAGTGCGTTCTGCTGACGCAGCGCGGAAAGTCCGCGGGCGGCCTGCGTGGGACAAGCTCCCTGAACGTCAGTGCGGGGCAGCGGGGGCAGTGGGGTGAGGCGAGCGGGCGGGGGATTCCTGCCCCGCGGAGGGGTGGGGACGCTGGGACTCGCCCAGCCCAGTGGAGGGATTGGGAGAGTGAGGCCAGGCTCATGGGGGGCCGGGAGGGGGTTCTAGAGAGGCCTCTGCCCCACCAGGCCTGCCCGGACCCTGGTCACCACCGCTGCATCTGCTCCCTCCCCTCTCCCTCCCTGCTGGACTCACCTCTCTCCCCAGCTGGGGTCCCACAGAGCAGGGAGGGGCTGGCTTCAGGGCCAAGGCTGGAGGCTCCGCTGGGGTACCCAGGCCCAGCGTACACAGGCTGCCACCAGGCACTTTGGTCGGGTGGCCTGAGCAAGTCCAGGCTGGGAGGAGGGAGACCCCTCCAGGGCGGCAGGAGGCGCAGGGGACTCAAGGGTGCCGGCGCGTGGGGGACGGAGGGTGCTGGTGCTGTGAGGGGCTCCCCACCCCCACGCAGGCCAGCTTCCTGGAATGGGGGCAGATATGTGCCCACCTGGGTCACCAAGCCCAAGAGGGACCCCAAGATGAGACTCTGCCCACGCCAGCTCCACACCCCTCGCTGTTTCCCCCCGGCCCCCCCCCCCCCCCCACCAGCTGTAAGGTCGGATCTTAACAAACGGCACCGCGAAACAGAGGAAAGCTTCAAGTGAGCTGTAATAGGGAGCGCTGCTTCAAGTGAACTGTAATAGGGAGCGCTCCCGGGCGAGGTTTACTGGTCCGAGAGAAAGGGGCCAGAGAAGTCGCGCTCGGGCGAGGGTCGGGTCGGGCAAGATTTTATAGGGAAAGAAGGGAAAGGGGTGTGGTGAATCCGGGAGGGCGCAGGGTATTCCTTATTTGGTGGTCTTTTCGGGTATCCTGGGGGACCGTTAGTCCCAGCCCTCGAAAGGCGGGAAGGCTGGGCTGGGTTCAAAGTCCCCAGGTCAGTTCCTGGAACTGGGTGGTCCGGAGAATTTCGGTCTGATACAACCTGGGAATCTGATTGCGTTCCCCTGCCTCGGGCCAGTTGGCCTTACACCAACCAGAGGGGCCCTCCAGCTGCTCCGAAAAACCACAACTCCTCCCCCTGGGGTCGGAATCCAGTGTCTGTTCAGCCTCAGATAAGGGCCTAGAGGCCATCCTCTGTTCCCAGAAGTGCTTCCGCCGCAGCCACAGCGCCTCACCTGGCTGGAAAAGGCCCCTGACCCTCCCTCTACTGAGACCTGGACTCAGCCATTGTGAGACACGGCCCCTCTGCAAGCGGACCGAGAGACCCCTGAGGGGCATAGGGAGGGAACCCACCCTAGCAGAACTGGTTGCCGGCCCCTCCCGGCCCCAGTCCTAGGGCAGTTTCAGGGGGCCTTCCAAGGGCAGGTGGTCCCTGGCTGCCCCCTGGTGCTGGGATGCGAACCCATCGATCAGATAGGTCCACGGTGCTAAGTCTGGCCATTCAAGGGCCCTGACCAGGACCTGGGCCATCACTCCTCCCCCGCTCCCCCGCCACGGTTTCAGCAGCAGGGCCACTCCTCCAGCAGCTGGGCTGAGCTCCCACCCCGCTGTGGTTTGCAGGGCCTTGGACGACCCCTTCCCACCAAGAAGTAGCCACACCTAGGTGGAGGGGCAGACATCTTCGCAGGACGCTTTGGGGCTGAGGTGCTTTCCAGAGACAGTGATTCGGGCCATGGCTGTTCCAGACCCCTCTTTTTGGAGACGCGTTCCAGGGAAGAGGGGTTTGAGGGGGGTCCTCTGAGTCCTCTGGGCTCCGTGGGCTCTTTGGCCAGGGCAGAACCCTGACTGCCAGGCGCTGAGGGAGGCCCCAGTGGCTGCCAGGGTGAGGGCCTCCAGTGGGGGCTGCAGGGATGGTGGGCGTCCCTGGGTGGTGCTGGGTCCAAGCAGGCAGACAAGGGGGAGGGAGGCAGAGGCCCTCAGCTTTCGCCTTGGATTACAAGCTCCAGCTGCAGTGCTGGGCAGCCCCGTCCCAGGCGCTAGGAGTGCCCCCCTCCCCCCCCCGCTTCCCCCCCCCCCCCCCCCCCCCCCCCCCCCCCCCCCCCCCCCGCCACCTCCCCTCTGCTGAGGCTGCTCCTCAAGCTGCTGCAGGGGGCCCAGCACATCATTTGAATATTGGGGCACCTTCTACCTCCAGATGCCCAGGTGCCCCATAGCCGACAGCACTCCAGACTCAGTTCCCTGCCCACCTCTCCCTGGCAGCCCACACAGTTCTGGCAAGGACACTTTGGAGCCCGATGTGGGGCTGGGTGGGGCTAGGAGAGGATCCAGATGGGGGTGTGAGGGTGTGGCCATCGCCCCTGGGGATGAATGAGTAGCAAGGAAACCTCATTTATTGAACTCCAGGCTCTTGGGGTAACCAGGCGCCCAAGAGCAGCAGACAGTCCAGGGCTTTGGGGGACCCCGGGGACGGAGGTCCAGTCAGGACATGCACTTCTTAGGCCACCACGGCCCCTGTGGGCCATCGCACGCACTCAGGGCCCAGGGATGATGGAGGCGGCAGGGACAGCTGCTCCCTGAGGATCGGGTCGCCTCCGTAGACACCGCCTTGACCAGCAGGGGAACAGTCCCGCCGAGGCTGGAGGAGAGCTGGAAGGTCCTGGAGCAGCACTGCTGCCACCACGGGCCACATCGTGAGCCACAGGACAGCGTGGGCAGAGGCCCCGTGGGCAGGATGTGAGGAGGGGGTGGGAGGGGCCTCAGAGATGAGACATGGGGTCTAGAGGCCCCTCGGGCCAGTTAAGGGGGTGACCCCGAGGTGACATGGCTGTGTAGTGTCCTGGATGCCAGCAAGGAAAGTGGTCCTGACCCCGAAGACACAGGCGTGGGTTTTACAAAGACCTGGGTGTGCTCTACCCACCCAGGAGGCCACCTCTCCCTGATGGAGACAGGTCTTCGGGCACAGAGCTGGCCAGCAGGCTGCAGAGGACGCAGTGCTGGGCTTGACCCCTCATGGAGAGACCACCAGACACACTGGGAGGGGACTCAGTGTTCCCAGACCCCAGCCACCCAGTGACAAGTGTGCTCCTGGCCTGGGGACCCCACACTCTGGGCCACAGCAGCAGGACGACGAGGGGGTGCAGTGGTGGTGGGAGGGTGGGTGGGCTGAGTGACAAGGCAGGTGAGCCCTGGCCTGGGCCCCTCACTGGCTCTGTGACCTGGGAGGACTGACTCTACCTCTCTGAGACCCGCTTTCCATCTGGCTCTTCTCTCCCTGGCTCCCTGGCTCCCTGGCCGCATACCTCCAGTGGGCTGGCCGGAGGCTCGGCGGTCAGTGCCCGCCGCCCTCTAGCGGTGCTGTGGCCGTTGCATCCCTGGGAAAGGAGTGGGGGGGCAGCGGGGGAGGACAGGTCGTTGCCCCTCGGGTCCCACCAGCACGCCAATGCAGGGCACAGCAGGGTTCCCGGCGGCCCCTCCCCCCTTGGTGGAGCCCGCTGAAGTACTGAGCGAGGGTGTGCAGGGCAGGAGGAGGGCATGTGGCTTGGTGGTGACCGTTTGGAGAGGTGAGGGCAGGGGGACGGTGTGACAGCTAGGGTGGGCCTAGGGATGGGGCTGCCCAGACCCTGGGGTCTGGACTGGGGGGGTGGGGTGGGGAAGGCCAGGGTGGAGAGGGGATTATGGCTGCCCCAGGACGCTTGGTGGCGGGGGTGTGGACACATGAGAGGCCCTGAATCTCCTAGTAGCCTCGAGGCTGGGCACACAGGGCACACAGGGACCTGCTGGCTCGGCACTTCCCTCAGGGCGCTGTCCTGCCACGACCATATGCCGGTCACCCACAGCCTGGGTCCTCCCGGCCTCTGCAGGGCTCTGCCTGCTGTAGAGTCCGGGCGCCGCAGGTGGAGGAGAGCTCAGGGCGCTGGTGCTCCGAAGGCCCAGAAAGGAGCTGAGCCTGGGCAGGGCGGGGACCGCAGCTCGGAGGAACATGTTGGGTGTGAGGAAGCCTTCCTATGGGAATCGAGAGGGGTCCGTGAGGCTCTAGGCCCTTGACTGGGGGACACTGGGCGCCTTTCCTGGGGACCACCGACCCAGGCAGTAGAGGTCAGGTGGGTTGTGAGATTGCAGGGCGGGTGGACGAGGGCCGTAGGTGAGGGGGCCCAGGAACTGGAAGCAGCCCACGGTGGGCAGAGTCAGGGGCGCGGGGGGCCTCATCTCCCTTTCCTGCCGGGCAGACACCCCCATCCCTCGACCCTCGTGTCCCCCCAGGGACGGGCCCCAGCAGTGGAGTAGCGGCTCACGGGGCGCAGGGAGGCTGCCGGAGGGGGTCTCGGGGCCCGGTGTGCGGGGAACCCGCGGACCAGCTGCAGAGGTCGCGTTTGTAACAAAAAAGCAGCTTTTATAGGCCCCCGCGAGGGCGCCGGTGGCCCGCGTTCTTGCGCTCCTCCTCCGACGACCCCGGGGAAGGCTCCCGCGCCGGCTCCCCGCCGCCCGGGGCCTCGGGGTCCCCGCCCTGGGCGCCGTCGGGGCCGCGGGTCGGAGGCCGGGGGCACCGCTGTGCGGAGGAGGGCCGCCCGGGCGCGCCGCTGGGGCCCCGGCGTGGTGCGGGCCTGCGCGCGCCCGGCCTGCCGGCGGCGCGGAGACCGAGGGACGCGGCGGGCGGCGGCGACGGCGGGCGGGGGACGCTGCGGGAGCCCCCGGGGCGCGGCCACAGGTCTGCCTCGCCGTTGTGCAGGAGCACGAAGCGGCGCTGGGACAGCAGCGGCAGCATCTTCTGGCCGCGCAGCCTCTTCTGGAAGGTCTCGAGTGCCAGGTCTGGGGAGGAGTTGGGGGTGAGCCCGGCTGGGGCGGGGGAGGCGTGGGGGGAAGGGAGGGGCGGGCACCCAGCCTCCCCGGCATGGCGTTCCCGGGGCTGGAGTTTACGGGGCTGAGGGATGGGCCAGGGGTTGGGGTGAGGCGTGGGCGGGCACCACCTTGGCTGGGAGGTGGGGGCCTGAGCAGAGGGTGGGGTTGCCATGCAGCCTTTCGGGGGCTGGAGAGCTAGGTTTGTGGATGTCTGAACTTGGGGAGAGGGTGGGCAGGCAGAGGGGTCGGTTTGAGGGTCCTGGGGGCTGGGTAGGGGCCTCACCCAGGGTCTCCGTGACCACGCCTGGAATCACCTCTTTCAGGACTTCACAGTTGGTGTGCAGGGCGGGGTTGGAGTTCATCTCCAGCAGCCACACCTGGGCCCAACACTGCTCAGCATACCTCCCTCCCTACCACTTGGCCAGCAGGAGGCCGAGGCCCTGGTCCCCATTAAGCCAGGTGACCGGGCAGGTCACTTCTTTCCCATGGCCTCACTACCCCATTTGCCCAAGGGGCTAAGACTCTGAGGGTCTGAGAGTCTGGCCTTGGGGGCTGCCCCAGCTGCAGGAAGAGCAAAGCCTTGTGGACACACCACCCCCAGGGCTAGGGAGGGTGCATAACTGCCTGCTCCAGGGGCCCGCCTGAGTGGTCAGGGTGTGCACAGAGGGCCCCTGCCTCCTGCACCTGCATGCTGGGCCCCGCCCCCACCCCCCACCCCGGGATGCTCAGCAGCACCTTGAAGTTTTCATCAATCAAGAAGTCACAGCCCATGAGGTCAAAGTAGCCCAGCTTGCACTTGAGCTTGGATTTGACAGACAGGAAGCAGTGGGCCATGATCTGCTGCATCCGCTTCTGTGGGTAGGGTGGGTGGGGGGGGTGTGGAGACAGGATGTCACCTGTGGGCCCTGATTACACCCTCCAGGCCTGAAGAGCCACATTCCCACCCCTCACCTGCGCTCCCACCAGTGCCCGCACTTTCACATTCTCAGGGTCACAGGCTTACAGCCAGAAACTCCTTCACTCTCGTTTTACTCATTTCACAAATGTGTGGACCTCCTATTGCGTGGCAGGTACTGGGGTCGAGAGTAGAGAGAGCTTACGAGGAGTCTCCGCCCTTGAGCAGCTCACTCAGAGGAGAGAGAGACAACAGTTGTGATGTGTAAACCGTTATGCGCTCTGCACAGCACGTGAAGCCATACGTGCTGATGGAGAAGATGAAGCAGGCTGAGAGGTGGGGCGTTCTGGGTGGTGTGGGAAGGCGTCTGATCTGGGTGGGCCAGAGAGTGAGCAATGGGTGAAGACTGAAAGGGAGAGCTGTGGGGTGGGGATGGGACACCTGGGTAGAGCAACGGCTGTAAGTAGGAGCGCGCCCAAGGTGTTGGAGGAACAGAGTGAGGCTGCTGTGGCTCGAGTGAGCTAGGAGGGCAGTGGGAGACGAGACCAGAGTGGTACCAGTCACATCTCGGGGACATGGGAAGACCTTGCCTTTCACCCCGAGGTCAGAGCTGTTGGAGGGTGGAGCATAGGAGGGCATATCTGACCCGTGCTCTAATAGGGTCCTCTGGCTGCTATGCTGAGAGAGACTGAAGGGCCCTGTTGCAAAGATCCAGGTGAGAAATGTGGGTGGCTTGTGTAAGCCGAGGTGGTGGAATGGATGCCGGGTCTGCGTTGGGGCAGAGCCAAGCTGGTTGATTGATGAAAGGATGGTGAGCTGTGAAAAGAGGAATGAAGGGTTATCCCTAGGTGTTTGGTCTGAGACTCTGGAAGGATGGAGCCCCCATCAACGGAGAAGGAGAGGAGGCCCATGGAGTCTGAGACATCTGTGAGCCTACAGATGCGGTGCTGATAGGCCATGGTTCAAGTTCAGGGGAGAGGTCAGGGCCGGATGTTTCAATGTGGAGTCTTGAGTACATAGATGGAATTTAAACTCAGGCGACGTCTGATAAAGACAAAGAGTAGATAACAGTGGGTACAGCAGATAAAGAGTAGAGCCAGGCTGAGCCCTGGGCCTCCTGAGCAGCCGTGCGGAGCCAAGGGGCCAGCACAGGGGGCGGAGGGGGGGTGGACGAGGTCCTGGAAGCCATGGGGAGTGAGGAGCTGTGTCCAAAGTTGGCTGACAGGTCAGGGAGAAGAGGGCTGGACTGACCCCTGGGTTTGACAGCATAGAGGTCACTCCAGTGAGCATTTCAGCGAAACAACAGGGAGAAGCTTTGCCGAGCAGGTTCAAGAGAGACAACATAAAAACAGCCCAAACTGGCCAAATTTGTCAGAATTAACCTTCTCAAAATGCTGGAAATTAACCAAAGGCGTCCAGCAACATGAAGAGTGTTTACTCAAGTAAAATCTTGAATCTTGGTAAGAACAGCAAGCTTTGTAGCATTTTAACTTGCCCTGATTTTATCCCTGGCATCCCAGCTCAGTGCCTTGAAAAAAGCCTGTGTTCTTGGTACTGGAGATAGCAGAATAGACCTGTCTGGCAAAGAATTGGAGTCATTTGTTGTGATGTGTCTGATGGTTCCATGGCGGACCTCACTTGAACTAAAGGAAAATACAAGAACAATGTCTTACCAAATAGAGAATGCCAGTGAAGAGATAGAAATTATAAAAGGGAGCTGAATAGAAATTCTGGAGTTGAAAATTATAGGAACTGAAATAAAAAATCACTACAGGGGTTCAACAGTCCATTGGAGTTGTTCAAAGATAGATCAATTGATATTATCTAGTCTAAGGAACAGAAAGTCAAAGGAATGAAGAAAAATAAAGCTACAGAGACCCGTGGGACACCGTCAAGCAGACCAAAATGCATAAGGAGATCCAGAAAGAGGGCAGAGGAAGAGTCAGGAAGAATATCTAAAGAAATAATGGCAGTGGGACTTCTCAAATTTGATGAAAAGTAATCTACACGTTCAGGAAGGCCAGTGAGCTGCAAGTAGGATAAACTCAAAAAGATCCACCACATCATAAGCAAACTTTCAAAAGACAAACAGACGATGTTGAAATCAGCAAAGAGAAGTGACTCATCATAAAGGCTCCTCGATAAGACCAACAACCAATTTCTCATTAAAAACCATGGAAATGTCCATCAACAGATGAATGGATAAAGAAGATGTGGCACATATATACAATGGAATATTACTCAGCCGTAAAAAGACATGAAATTGAGTTATTTGTAGTGAGGTGGATGGACCTACAGTGTGTCATACAGAGTGAAGTAAGTCAGAAAGAGAAAAATAAATATTGTATATTAACGCATATATGTGGCACCTAGAAAAATGGTACAGATGAACCGGTTTGCAGGGCAGAAATAAAGACACAGATGTAGAGAACAAACGTATGGACACGAAGGGGAGAAAGTGGCAGGGGTGGTGGTGGTGTGATGAATTGGGAGATTGGGATTGACATGTATACACTAATATGTATAAAATGGATAACTAATAAGAACCTGCTGTATAAAAAAATACATAAAATTCAAGAATTCAAAAAAAAAGAAATAGCAAAATAGCAGATGTAAATCCTAACTTATCAGTAATTATATTAAATATAAATGGAGTAAGCTTTCCAATTAAAAGACAGAGATTGTCACGATGCATTCCCCTCCCCCCCATACACTATCTATGAGACTCACTTGAGATTCAAAGACACAGATAGGTTGAAAGTAAAAGGATAAAAAAATATATATCAGGGCTTCCCCGGTGGCACAGTGGTTAAGAATCCGCCTGCTAATGCAGGGGACACAGGCTCAAGCCCTGGTCCGGGAAGATCCCACAAGCCGCGGAGCAACTAAACTTATGCACCACAACTACTGAGCCTGAGCTCTAGAGCCCCTGAGCCACAACTACTGAGCCTGCATGCCATGATTACCGAAGCCCACGTGCCTAGAGCCCATGCTCTGCAACAAGAGAAGCCACTGCAATGAGAAGCCTGTGCACGGCAACAAAGAGTAGCCCCCGCTTGCTGCAACTAGAGAAAGCCCATGCATAGCAACCAAGACCAAACACAGCCAAAAATAAATAAATAAATAAAATTAAAAAAAAATATATATATATCAGGCAAACAGTAACCAAAAGAGAGCTAGAATATCTATACTGATAGCAGATAAAATAGAGTTTAAGACAAAAATTGAGGACATTAAGAAAAAAGAGGACATTTTCTAATAAGTCAAGAATATGTAATAATCATAAACATACATATACTTAACAACAGAGCCTAAAAATGCATGAAGCAAAAACTGACAGAATTGAAAGGAGAAATAGACAATTCAGTAATAATAGTTGGAGACTTCAGTATCCCATTTTCAATGATAGAACAACTAGACAGAAGATCAAGAAATAAATAGAAGACTTGAACAACACTATAAACCAACTAGACCTAAAAGACATCTATAGAACACTCCACCCAACAGTAGAATACACATTCTTTTCAAGTGTGTGTGGAACATTTTTCAGGATAGACAATGTGTTAGAACATAAAACAAGTTTCAATACTTTTTTTTTTTTGCGGTACGTGGTCCTCTCACTGTTGTGGCCCCTCCCATTGTGGACCACAGGCTCCAGACGCTCAGGCTCAGCAGCCATGGCTCACGGGCCCAGCCGCTCCGCGGCATGTGGGATCTTCCCGGACCGGGGCACGAACCTGTGTCCCCTGCCTTGGCAGGCGGACTCTCAACCACTGCGCCACCAGGGAAGCCCCCAATACTTTTTAAAGGGTTGAAATCATACAAAGTATGTTTTCTGACCACAATGGAATGAAATTAGAAATCAATAAGAGAAAGAAAATTAGAACATTCACAAATATGTGGAAATTAACACACAAGCAACAAATGAAAACGGAACACACAAAATCTTATGGGATGCAGTGAAAGCAGTGCTCACAGGGAAATTTATGGCTGTAAACACCTACATTAAACAGGAAGAAAGATCTCAAATCAAATCAATAACCCAAACTTCAACCTTAAGAAACTAGAAGAAAAACAAACAAAAAAAAACAAAAAACAAACAAAAAACCCAAACCACACCAAAACAAAACTAAACCCAAAGCAAGAAGGAGGGAAATAATAAAGATCAGAGTGGATATTAATGGAATAGAGAATAGAAAGCAACAGAGAAAATCAATGAAACCAAAAGCTGGCTCTTTGAAAAGATCAACAACCCACCGCTGCGAGCACGCCCAACGGCAGCCCCACCCAGGGACGGACGGTCCCGACCCCCAGCCCCTCCCAACGCCGTGTGGGCGGGGCGCGCACGCACCGTGAAGGTGGTGAGGACCCAGTCCCGGGGGAGGCGCTTGGCCTTGTGGAACTTGTCGTTGATGTAGCGGTTAAGGTGCTCCATGCTCCACACCGTGTCGTCCTTGAGCAGCAGGTACAGGGGGCTCTTCTTCTGCATGAACTGGGAGGCAGGGCAGCGCCTGGAGGCCCGGCCCGCACGGGGGGCCCCGACAAGAGCCTCACCCCGACGCGGCCACCAGAGACCCCACAGGGGTCCCGCTCCTTCGGGACACCGACCCCCTCCCCCAGCACCTCCTGCCCCTGAGAAGTACCCCCAGATCCTCCCGGAGGGTCACTGCCCAGACACCTCCCTTTGAGGCCCTTCCACAGAGACCTCTGCCCACAGCATCCCTGAACTGAGGTCCTCACGGAGGCCCTTGCCCTTGGCTCCCACCCCTGCTGGGCCTGATCCACACCCAGAGGGAGCTGAGCTGGGGGTCGGGGCCACGGCTCTCAGTCTGTTCACCAGGATGCCCAGCTGAGGCTGAAGGTGAGAGGCAGTGCTGGCTGCAGGCAGGGGCAGCCCAGGCCACCTCGGGGTTTGGGCCATGTCTACAGTTGGATTCTTTTCCCATTCTTGAGCAGTGATTTTTGTCCAAGGCTGCAGGGAGGGCCCTCACCTGTGTGGGGCATTTACCTGGTTGGTTAAATGGCCACCGAGGTCGCTGGAATGGGGATCATAAAGGCCGAGGGTGAGGCGAGCGTAGCCGTGGCCGAAGAAGACCATGTAGGGCATGGTGCAGGCGATGAGCAGGTAGGAGCGCACGTCGAACTTCTTCCCATCCAGCAGCAGCGGGTTCTGGATGTACCTGGGGAGGCGTGGTTAGCTTGGCCCGTGCCCCCACCTGGGCCTGCCAGTTCCTCAGCACCCCTGCTACCTGTCTCAGGTGTGAGCTGTGGGTCCCCTACCCTGGCTGGGCGCAGTGTCCACTGGTCAGGGGACATTGCCGAGCCTGAACACATCAGGGAATTGGGAAGGAGGGCCTGGCCCCTAGAGCTCAGCCCACTGGTGTGTGTCTGGGGCACCCCAGGGCGCAGCCCTCGCTAGAAGCCTGGGAGGCAGAAGCAGACTGGGCCCTATGGGCTGGGAAGACTGCCTGGAGAAGGAGGGAGGGGTGACCTTGGGCCTTGAAGGGCAGGTGGCTTTGCAGAGGCAGGGAGGGGACGTCCCAGTGGAGAGAGCTGTAGGTCTAGAGACCCAGCGGCTGGGAGGAGCTGCTTGGGGTGGCAGGCAGCAGTTGTGGCAGGAGTGAGGTCCACACTGGCAGATAGGGGAGTCCGAAGGGACCTTTCTCAGGCTCGCCTGTGCCCCCTGGTGTGAGGCTGAGGGTCTGGACCCCTCCCAGAGGCAGAGGGAGCAAGGCGGGGTGGTTGGCTCTGCCTGTGGGCCTGAAGGCTGCAGCTGGATGCGTGGGGGATGGGGGAGAAGCCGGGCTCCCTGCAGGTCAGAGGGTGCAGGACCCAGGCTGGGGCACAAGCTGACAAAGCCCTCCCTGCCCCACACCATCCAGGAGCCTCCTGTGTTTGGCAGGGGGGAGGGTATATCCTCTGAGATCCTGACTGGATGTGAAAACCCCACCTCTTCTGGCTACACAGGGGCCCAGCTGGGGGCACCGCAGCCTTCCACCGCCAAGGACTCCTCTGTGGGCCCCGCGACGCCCACGAGCCTCACAGGCACCAGCGGGCCTGGGTCAGCCCCACCTGGCCAACGCCCCTCGGGGTGCCCACGCGCAAAACCTCTGTACGACCCGCGCCTGAGGCGCCCGGAAGGGCATCTTGCGGTAGATGGGGTCGTCCTCGATGCTCTGGGTCTTGGCTCGGAGGGCGGCGACTTCCTCCTGGTTCCGGAGCAGAAAGATGCCTTTGCCCTGGTTGGAGGCGGTGGGCTTGCAGATCCACATCCGGGTTTCTGCGGAGAGAGCTACCCGAGCCAGGGAGCCTGCCTCGCCCCGCCCATCCCTGCCTCGCCCCGCCTTGGCCCCAGCCCCGCCCCGCCCCGCCCTGACCGCTCCCAGCCACGGCCCCGCCCCTGCAGGCTTTGGCCTCCACTAAGGTCCGGCCATGACCCCCCCCCCCCCCCCACCATCTACTCAGCACCAGCCCTGACCTCACCCACCCTGGCTCCACCCTTCCACTCCCTGACCACGCCCCACCTCGGCCTCGCCAGGGCCTTGGCCCCGCCCTAATCTCGCTCCCACCTTGGTCCAGCCCTGCACCGGTCTCCCCAGAGAGGGCCTGGCGTCCAGGGGCCTCTCACCATCAAAGAGGGTGAAGAAAGCCTCTCTCTCGTCCCTGATGTCCAGACGGTAGGTCTCTGGGAAAAAGTCTTCCATTTTCAGGACGCTGGGGAAGCAGGGAGGTGGGGAAGACACTGGGAGGGTTGTCCCCCTCCTCCAGCTTGGCCAGCCATTCTGGGGGCCTGACCTGGGGTAGGCTGGAGGGAGAGTGTCTGCTAGGAAGCTGCGCTGGGCTCCAGGCACTCCTGCCCTCTTTGGTTTCCTCTGAAACACACCCCCACCCCCGGCCCCCAGCTCTTTCCTCTGCAGAACCTTTGCACCTTCTGTTCCCTGGCCAGGAGCACGCTTTTCCGGCTCTGCACACCTGGCTTCTCTGCAGGCTGCCTCACCCACCTCCCAACCCCTCCCACCTCCCTGCTCTTCCCCCTGCTGCTCTCGGGCCTTTGGGAGTGGTCAGTTCAGAGCTGGGTCTCCAGGCCAGGACAGTGCCCAGCATGCAATGAGCGGTCGGCATGGATCCCCTGTCCTGGGATGCCCTGTAACCCCTTTCACCGAGCACCAGGCCATCCTTCAGTTGAGGGCAGAATGGCTGGGGGAATCTACCTCTGTGGCCCAAGGTGTCCTGAGCTGCTCCACATGAGCTCTTCTGGGGCGGGTGTCGTGTCCTTTCCAGATCCGTACCCCAGGAGGACACAGGACCTGGCCTGAGTGGCTGCTCAGTGTGGAGAATGGATGGGGGTGTCGAGAGGTGGGGAGTGGGTGGGGGCTTGGCAGTAGACTGGTGATGTGTGGATAAGTGGATTTTGGATGGAAGTAGGTGGATGGGCAAGTGGTCTGGTGGGTAGACGTATGCCTGGAGGGGGTTGGACCAGAACTGCTGACAGAATTGGGTGGTGTCGTGGATGACCAGGTAGTGGGTGGCTGCCTGCCTGGTGGGGGGTGGACGAGGGAGGCAGATGGTAGGTGGTTGTTTGGATGGGCGGGCAGATGTGTGAATGGCCGGGCAAGTGAATGGAAGAGGAGTGGGCACATCGAGTGGGTCGGGCACGGCTCCGGGGGGAGGGGCGGGCCAAGGGGCAGGAATGGGTGTGCAGTGGACGGCAGTGGGTGTGGTAGGCAGTGGTGACTGAATGCAGGACACCAGTGGGCGGCTCTGTGGTGAGCGTGTGAGGACCGCTGGGGGGCCGTGGGCTGGGTGGCTGGAATGGTGGCCGTTATTGGGGGTGGAGACAGATGGGTGGTACGCGGCTGGGTCAGTGGGAAGGCAGGTAGGCGGACCGACTTGGTGGAGGGCGGTCAGGAGCAGCGATTGACGCGTCGGGTGCGGGGTGCGCCGCCGGGGTCGGGGGCCAGGGCATCCTCACTTGGCCTGTGCGCAGGGGGCCAGCTTGCTGGTCTTGCTGAGGACACGCGCGTGCTCCCTCAGGGCGCTGAGAAGCCCGATCTTGGTGGTGAGGAGCTGGCTGTTGGGGAGCTGGTACAGCAGCTGCTCACCTGGCGCGACAGAGCCCGGGCAGCGTGCGACCGCGCATGCGCGCGTGGAGGGCCGCCCGCTGAGCCCGGCCCCGCCCCTACCTTCCCGGAAGCTGCAGTAGGTGTCCCTGCACTTGACCTCGCACCACTTGAGCTTGTAGTCTTCCCGCCGGCTGTCCTGGATGCGCTGCCAGCCCTTGCTTTTGCAATAGGAGCTGATTCTGCAGGGGCGAGGGGCGGCGGTGACCTGGGGGCCGCGGGGCTGTGGGCCGCGGAGCGAGGCTGGGCCGGGGCCTGCAGGCGGTGGGGCTGGACCCAGCCTGAGGCCCCACTCACATTGCGGCCCCGTTGGTGCCTCCGATGTAGAAGAAGGGGCCCTGCCCGGTGCCGGGCGGCTGCTTCTCCCCCTCCAGCGGGTGCTTCTCCAGGAGGGCGGCCCGGGGCCTGGCAGTGTCAGCATCGTCCAGCTCTGCGGGCAGAGTGGGTGGTCAGAGGCTCTGGCCCAGCTGGTGGCTTTTCTGCCCCTCCCTGGGCCCTGCCCGAGCCCATCTGCGTCTTGGTCCAGCTGGCTTAGCTGACGTGGGAGCCCCTCCTCTCGGTGGCTCCCCATTGATCTCTCATGGGCCCAGCCTGTGAACAAGGTGGGGTCAGACAGGGGGCGTCCACTCAGAATCTGACTGGAACCCCTGTGCAGTCCCCCCAGTCGTCTTGGCCCATCTCAGCCCAGCCTCAGGCCCAATCAGAGGGCCTCCTAGGAGAAAGGGGGCAGGGTCCCTCCTTACCAACGGCAGGGGCTTTGTGTGGGGCAGAGGCTGAGGTGTGAGGCTGGAGCTGGGGGCAGATGTGATGCAGGGACGTGCCCAGAGGGCGGGGGTCACAATGTCCATCATGACGTCATGGGTGACCCACAGCAGTCAAGGGAGACCCCTCTCCGCCTGTTCAGACCCCGACTCTGCTGTCCTCTGCCCTACTCGGCTGGCCCAGATCCCACACCCGGCATGTGGCCTCCTGCTGGCCCCTCTCCCAGGGCATGGCTGTGTGGTCCCCCCGTGAGAAGGCCTTCCTGGGGAGGGGGTGCCTGTCCCTGGGGAGGCCCTGGCTGCATACACCTGGTGCCCAGGGGCGGCTCCGCCGGACCCCTGCCATCCTTGACCGCTTGCCTCTCTTTGTGCCAACCTGGGTCCGAGGAGGTGGTCCCTGGCGGTGGAGGAAGTGGGTGAGGCTGCAGGCCACAGACGCTGGGGCACTGGGGCGGGGGCACCTCTGGGAAGACGTGGCCCCCACCCCTCTGCAGGCCCTTCGGGCGGCCCGTGGTCCTAGCCCTTGAACTGAGCACGCAGTCAGGCCCGCCCTGCCTGGGGAGGGGTGCCGCCCAGCGTCCTGGATTTGGGCTTCCTCTTGTGGGTGGCTCCCGTCTCTGTGGTGACTGTGGGGCCTGCAGGGACTGTCCATCTGGTGTCGGCATCTCTGCGCTTGACCTCCCTGCCGGCTGTTAGGAGGGCTGCTGTCAGGCCTGTGGGGTTGGGGGGCGGCAGCCCTGAGCAGTCCCCTCCCAGAGTCAGGGCAGGGCCATGAGGATGATGCCTCCCTAGGGCTCCTTTCCTGTGTGGCTAACTCGGGAACATTTTAGGGAATTTTAGCCATTCCTTGACAGGTCCTTCCCAGTTTGGGGGCTGCTTGGGAGGCTAGGATTTTCCGAAAGATTGAAGAAACACAAGCAGTGGAAAGGCCAGTACCCTGGGAGCTGGCAGGCAGAGAGGGGCTCCTGCATCTGCATACCAGGGGCTGGCAGGTTGCCCTCCAAAGAGGACAGTCGCTTTGCAAACAAACCAGCCGGTCACCCAAGAGATGCTAGCCAAGACCTTTGTCCCCACTTAGGACAGAAGAGGGTGAACTGGGAACAGCTGTCAACACGGTTACAGGGCCTGGGTGCGGGGCGGGGCGCGGGGAGGCTCTCACCCCCCTGCCAAGCGTCTCCTCCCCAGCCCTGCCCCACCCAGAACGGGAGGGCTCCTCTGTGGCGGCTGGACCCCGCCCAGCATGACTGCGGGGTGTGGGGGGGGGATAGGAGCCTGCTGAGCACGGGGAGGGTGCGCACGTGCGTGTGTGCGTGGGTCTCCGCGTTGCCTGGGAGACCCGCACCTTGCTGGGAATGGGGGCTCCCAAGTAGGATGACGGTCAGTACTCTCCCCCAGCACTCCCACGTGAGCGGCCACTGAGTCAACAGACATCTAATGGAGGCCCCCAGGTGTGAGCGACAGGTTGACGCCCAGAGACAGAGAAACAGGGCCCTGCGAGGAGGGGCCGGGGGTGGGGGTGGGGGTGGTGGCGGAGCCCGAGGCAGGGGACACAGCCCTGGGAATACACTGGGGCAGGACTGGACGGTTAGAACAAAGGGACAGACAAGGTGGACGAGCTCATGGAAATACGCAGTACAGCCTCGTGAGAAGCTCAAGGCGAGGAAGTGTGCTGGAAAGGAGAATGTAAAGAAGGAAAGGCACCCAGCGGAGCTGGAGACATCTCAGAGCCGGAGGCAAGGCTCCTGCGACCCACCCAGCGTGGTGGGAGGTCTCCAGACCCCCCTCAGGGAATTCCCCAGTTGAGCCGGACCTGGGAAAGGAAGCTGGGGCTGTGGTGTGGATCAGCTCTGTGCCTCGGTTTCCCCACCTGCAGAGTGGGCTGGGAGTACCAGTGGCCTGTGTGACACATGCACACAGCTGCCTGGTCACCCATGTTGGAGGAGGGCCTGTGTGGCGACGGTGAGGCCGGAGAGGGCCAGGCCGGTTCCGAGCAGGGCAGTGACCCGCCTGCAAGGAGCGTTACTGGGGGTTACAGCGTGAATGTGGGGGGTGGGAGGGAGCCCCTGGCCCCCACAGCCCAGCAAAGGGTAACTTCTGCGGGGTAACCCGGACCCAGCAGTGAGCGCTCCCAGAAACGGGAGCCGGGAGGTGGGCGCGGAGTTGCCGGATTTCAGAACAAGCCTTGTAAGCCTGTGCCTCTGTTTGCCTGTCTTAACTCTGTATATCTTATTTCTTCCACGAAGAATTAAACAGGCCATGAATGACTATTTCTTGTCATTCAAGTTAACAAAAATTAAGAAAAAGAATCCTTACTCTGGGCGTGCACGCGTGTGGTGAACGCGGTGCGGGTGCCCCGGGCTGCAGGACGTGGTGGCCTGCGGGGCTGCGGGCGGGGTCAGGGGTCAGAGCCTTTGCCGAGCAATTGCCTTTCTCAGAGTCTCTCTGACGGACTCATTCTAAATAGCAAGCTTTGTGCTGAAAGGTGTTCCCGAACCGTTATCAATGGTGGTGAAGCTCGGGTTGCAGTGGCCCTGCCCGGGGGTGGGGGGGTGATGGCACCAGGCCCTCCGCGAGGACTGCAGGGAGGGGTTGGTGGAAACAACTTTATAACGAATTTTTAAGTAAACTTTTTACCTGGTCAGGTAAAAAGACTGGCGGGAAATGGCGCTCCGGTGTGATGAATGGAAGACCCTCGTGAACCTGAAGGAAACATCCAGGAAAACGAGGTGACACCCGTGTCCTGCCAGGTCCGTCCTCCAAATACACGTCTGGGGACGCGGGGCTCAGGAGGTGCTCACGTTGCTCGTCAGGCTGGTGCCTTCTGGCCAGGGCTGAGCTGTCTGGGGGGACGTGGGTCCCTGCAGACTTTAGGAGGCCGTCCCTTCTGGGGGTCGGTCCTGGGAGACAGACCTGGTCCTGAGCAAAGGAGCTGGTCCTGAAGGGCCGCCACGCCTGGAGGCCTGCCCTGCTCAGCCTGGCCTGGGGGTCTCTGCCCAGCCAGGCACCCGTCCACTCCCCTTGCTCGCCTCCCTCACGCTCCTGGGCAGAGTCCCGAGAGGACCCACAGGGCTCCTGGGGCCAGGGGGCTGGGCGGGGCAAGGGACGGTAGGCCCCGGCCCTCAGGGCCAGCCAGGACCCCCGCTGGTGACCCGCCTGCCCCTCTTGCCTGCCCGACAAGGTGGTGTGAGCCCTGTGCCAGGGAAACAACAGTGGTGACCAGGCAACTGTCTCCTAGCAACCATGACCCAGTGGCCCAGAGGGGAGCAGGTGGATGGGGAAGGGCAGGAGGCCGGGCACCAGGGGCAGCGGCCAAGGCTGGAGGAGGGGTGGCATGGGCACAGCCCCCACCTGGGTCCTCCGTCCTCCCGGGACATTCCTGAGCCTTCTCAGGATCCCCAGATCTGTGCCAGGCCCCCAGACCTGACCCATTATGTTTTTGTGCTCAGTGTGCTTTACCTGTGTTATTTCATCTCCCCTTACCACGGCCTCTTTACAGAACAGAAAGTGGGCGCTCAGCAAACCCATGCTTCCCCAAGGGGTTGAGAGGAGCTCACACCCAGGTCTGGGAGGCCAGGGCGTGTGGGAGAGCCGCTGGCTGCCCTGCATGGCCCCCTGCCTCTGTCCTCCAGAGTCTTGCATGGGTCACCAGGGTGTCTCTCCTTAGGGAGCCTTCACTTGCTTCTTGTAGGGTGGATGGTGGTCCCCGTGCCATGTGTGTCCACGTCCTAAGGCCCAGAAAGTGCGGTGTGACCTTACTTGGAAAAATCGTCTTTGCAGATGTGATTATCTGATGGGCCCTAAATCCAGCGACCAGTGGCCTCGGGAGAGGGAGGGAGAGCGGAGGAGACTCAGAGGGGAGAAGCCAACTGAAGATGCGGCAGCGGCCGGAGGGATGCGGCCACAAGCTCCCGGACGCCTGGAGCCCCAGAGGCTGGGAGAGGCAGGAAGGACCCACCCCAGAGCCTCCGGAGGGAGCAGGTGGCCTCCGGAACCGTGAGAGAATACATTTCCGTTGTTTCAAGCCACCGAGTTTGTGTAATTTGCTGTGGCTGCCCCAGAAAATTAATGCACCCCTTAAGCGCCCCCTCACTTTAAGGGTCCCGGGTGGCATTCCCCACTGTGGGGAGGCCTCCCTGACCCCGCTCAGAGGCTGACGCACTCCCACCTGTGTGCCTGCCTGCACCAGGTGTTGGGGGCCTGCAGGGCTCCGTTCTGCTGGACTGTGGTCTGACACCCCTTTGCCCGAGGGTAGCTGTCGGTTAGTCTGGAGGGGCGGAGAGCTCCTCCAGCCAAGTCCTGGACTGAGGGGCAGGCAGCCTGACCTCAGGAGCTGGTGGCCCCCTGCCTGGGCCTGCTGGGTGCAGCACCCAGGGGCGGGCAGTGGATCCCCTGGTCACCTGCAGGCCACTTGTCTTCCCCTTGGCCTGAGCACAGAGTTTCAGAACCCCCAGGTCGTCCTCCCCCGGAGCCCATGCCCCACTCCCCATCCCTTCTAGAGGCCCAGACCCCTAGGAGCTGGGCCAGCCCACCACCCTGCTGCCCTATGACTCCCCATGGGTTCTGGGGAGGCGGCCCCCTGCCCACGTGGTGACAGCGAGAGCTCAAACTCAAAAACTGCTGTATAACCCGAAACACTGGTGTGGGTGCCAGCCCAGGGGCAGCCTTTCCCGCGATGGCCTGGGACTGGGCCATCGGTGGCATCTACAACCCCGAACAAGGCAGCCAATCATTAACCGGCCACCCTGCAGGGCGGATGCCTCTCCCCGGGTGCCACAGGGCTTGGCTGGGCTTGGGCCCAGTGCCTGGAGGC